TTTCTACTTATAGCTTCTTTAGCTTTATAAAGATAACGCTCTACTAGAATAGTCTTAGACTAGTAATATTACTTTTTCTAAAGTCTACTTTATTAATAGTAAAGTTAAATATACTATTACGTAGGTCTTAGATAGCTAGATTAACTAACGTACTACTAATCTTTACACTAGTTAATAGAGATACTTATAATATAAGGTTAAGTAGGTTAGTAATAATTAATTAGATAACTAGTAGCTATACTTTAATATATAAGGTAGTAAAAAGTCTCTCTAGAATTACTATAACTAAAATCTAGATAAGCTAGGCTCTTATAACACGTTTTATACGTATAATAACTATAGTAAGCTTACTATTACTCTACTCTACCTAAAGAATACTATATACTTAGAAAGAACTAGCTAGTTATTTATAAAGTTACCTAGCTATATTACTTATAAAGCCTACTATATAGACTATAACGTATATCTCTACCTAACTTTAATCTCTCTAGGTAATAGTAGTTGCAAGAGAACTTATTTCTCTACTTACTACTCTACGTTCTTACCTTATTTATAGTTTTCTAAGGTACTCTAATATATTAATAACTAGAATCTTATAACTACGCTAATAGCGCCTATACGCTTACTTTAGACTATAATAGATACTAGCGTATAGCCTAGGCTCTCTCTTAGAGGTATAGCTATATTATCTATTTTTTCTTTATACGCTTAGTTAGAACTTTAAGCGCTTTAGAGAGAGAACGTATAATAGTTTAGATCTCTAGCTATATTAGTCTAATGTTAGCCTAATACCTCTATAATATATATTTACCTCTAATAGCTTCTTATAAGCTTCTTACTGCAATTACTTTATTATTTCTACCTATTACCTATAAGACTCTTATAGTTATTATAGAGTAAGATCTTAGCTTTTATTTTCTTTTTATAAGTTTTAGTAGTAAAATAGTAATTAAGAGCTTTTAAGAAATCTAAAAACTTTTTAGTACTCTTAATATTATATTAGATAAGATTTTAAGTATTATTTTAGATATAAAACTCTAAGTAGATTATAGTAGAGTAATTATTAAAGTATATATTATATTTATTAATAGCTAACTACTTCTACTTCTTATAGTTCTCTTTATCTTTATTCTTACTAAGAAAGATAAAGATATTAGATAAGTAAAAGCTAACTCTACTATTAGAAATACTAATAGATAATATAGCTTATCTATATAAGCTTATAGTAGATATATTACCTTAGATAGTAAGTTATTACTTAGAAGTATTATTACGCTATAGATACTTAGAGAGATTATTACGCTATAAGCGCTTAAAAAGATTATTATATTAGTAGCGCTTATTAATATTATAATATAAAGTATTTATATATTTACTATAATTAGTAGTATCTTTATAATAATTATATTTATTATAATTAGTAGTGCCTTTATAATAATTACGTTTATTAGTATTATTATATTAGTATTTCTTATAACTAGCTTAGTTAGTATATTCTTAGTAGAGAATAGAATATAAGTAGTAGCTAGGCTTATAGAATTAGAGTCTAGTAATAATAGTATTATACTTACGCTAAAGGTATATTAGATTATCTTTAACTTTATTATACTTTTTCTAAAGTAATTTATAGTTAGTGTTTTTATTTACTTAGTTAATATAGTACTAAGTTACTTTCTTTTTCTCTATAGTAATAATATTATATTATTTAGAGGCTAAAGCTTTCTACTTCTTTAGTTTCTTATATAGTAAGTTAGCTTTAGTAACTTCTTTATTAAGCTTTTTATAGAGCTTAGTAGCTTTATTAGTAAGCTAGTTACTCTTATCTAAGTTATACTCTTTAAGATAGTTAATAGATTTTAACTAGTTTTTAATAATCTTAGCTTAGTTCTAGTTAAGAATATATAGCTTATTATACTTATTAGTAATAGTCTAAAGTATAGTATTAAGATTAGAAGTATATAAGAGCTTACTCTAATTATTAGTAAGATAAACTTATTACTTAAGCTTCTAAATATAGTTAAGCTTCTTTTTATAAAGATTATAGAGTATAGTTATAGATAAAAGTATAGTCTTCTTCTAAAGAGCGTTATAGCCTTTAGCTAGTATACTAATTACTATTATTATATAAATAAAAGTAGTATAAAACTATTAAAAGTATTTAGTAATAGCTTTAGTAAAGTAAGTATTATTATAAATAGTAACGCGTAGAGAAATACTATTAATAGTATTACTCTTTTTAAAATAGACTTTACTTTCTTTAAAGTCTTAGTCTATTATAATAGTATATTATAAGCTATTAGTATTAGTATTAGTATTAGTTTTAATAGTTTATAGTTCTAGCTATTAGCTAGACTATAGTAATACGTAGATAATTACTAAGTTATTATTATTAATAACTTTAATATAGTTTTCTAGAATATTTAGTTTAATATATAGAGTAGTATTATTATAAGTTATAGACTCTCTTAGCTTAGAGCTAGTTACCTCTTCTAATATAAAAAGTAAAAGGTATAGATCTAGAAAGCTACTTTAGTAGTAGTTAGATTACTAAATCTTATATAGCGCTAGTGTATTTTAGACTATAGTATTCTAGGTATTCTAGGTATTCTAGGTTAGAGATAAACTCTAGATACTAAAGACTAGGCGTTTAGTTATATTAGAGTTAAATATAGAAGTATTATTAGTAGAAATAAATAATATAAATTTTTTTTTAACTATTCTTCTAAATATTTACTTATAGTTATTATATATCTTAGTATTTAATATATAATATATAGATTTATCTTTAACTACTTACTCTAAATAAGATAAGCTAATTCTCTACTTATTATATTATAATACCTTTAGTAATAAAGCGTAAGATTCTACGTAATACTTATCTTCTAATAACTAAGTACTTTAATAAAAAGCTTCTAAAAGTATATATTAGTTACTCTACTTATATATTTTATAGATACTAGTAGTATTATAATTAGTATAATTATCTCTTAAGTAAGTAGAATTACTACTTAATTTAGATAGTGTTAGTAAAGCTATAAGTACTTATATTTAATACTTTACGTAGTTATATAATAAATTTTAATATCTTATAATATTTAAGTAATAGGCTCTAGTATTATAGTTAAGAGTAGTAGGTATTTATACCTAAATATAGAGTAATATAAAATAGTGTAAAAGTTAAGTTAAATATTAAGTAAAATTCTATATATAGAACTATCTAGACTATATATAAAGTTTTAATATTTCTTACTTAAGCTATACTAGTTCTAATTAGAATAGGTTATTAGTTTAATCTATAATAATAACTATAGTTTACTAGAGCTACTACGCTTTATTAAAATAGTTATTTCTATATTTAACTATAGTAGCTAAGAATAACTTTATAATAAATATATAATAAGTTATTTAATAAGTTTTATAATAGCTTATATAGAACTAGAGTTAAAGCTTAAAGTTTTTATAAAAAAAGTACTTTTTACTACTTTTTTCTTTTCTTTATTATAATAATAAATAATTAGAATTTTTCTTAAAATAATATTAAGTACTTAGCTTTTATAATAAGCTTAGTTTAAGTAAACTTATTTAATACTATATACTTTAACTTTTTTTTTTAATAAAAGTTTATTTATCTTTTTACTTTATATATTAATTATTTTTATAGCTAAAAAAATAGTAAGTTACTTAAACTAGTAAAGTACTTATATATACTTAATATATTAAAGCTTTTATTTTAAATACTTAAAAATAGTATATAATTTACTAAAGTATTAAAGTAAAGTTACTAATAATATTATAGTACTAGACTATTTTTATTTTTATAATAAAGAGCTTACTATATTAAATATACTACTTTTATTAGTTTTTATAAGCTAAAAGCTTTTTTTAAATAAAATAAACTTTTTAGTAATAGTATATAAGTAGTGTAAAATATTAGTAAATATAGTACTTACTATATTTAAGCTTAGTATATAGTTTAACTAAAGTAAATATAGTAGTTAAAGTAATTAAAGGTAGTAATAAAAATTAAGTTAGTAGCTTTTATAGTACTTTTCTATTTAAGTAAGTAGTAGTATTATAAAATTATAAAATAGAAAAAACTACTTTTAGACTAGCGCCTTAGTAAATAAGATATAGATTATATTAATACATTAAGGCTCTCTCTCCTGTCACTGCTTTTATAATTACTAATATTATCAAATTATGCTATACTTATATTACGCGTCAGCATAGTACGCACCAGCTTGAAGAAGTGCGCAGTATGCTCGTGCCGCGGTAGACTGAGACCGGATGACGCTCACGACTTCGTTGTTGCAACTTGGTGAGACTGTTGTATATATACAAATGCGCGTTACAAGATTTCAGTGGAAAATACTGTAAGTGCAACGTTGAAACATTCGTGAAGTACGCAGAAGCTTATTATACATACCTAGGTCGATGTCCATAATACCGATGCTGGGCGACTCGAAGGATGAAGCCATGGAATCGAACGTGAATGTCCACTCATATATTAATGACTCTTCAAGAATCCTACCAATCGATGACTGGTTATGCCGTGCGACCGTTTCTGTGACACCAAATGTTGAACGGACACGTTGGCTTTCATATGGCTCTAGCTCGATGGTCCTCGCGTCGTATGACGTTCCGAGGACAAAGAAATCATGTCTGCTTGGTAGTCCTGGCGCATATACGTGGGGCTACACGAGAGCGGGTTGGGTATTTGCTTACGAGAAAGCACAGTCACTCATGCCTCTTCATGTCATAGATAACCATCGATGCGGCCACCTCCTGATCGTGCACTGCGGTAAGATAGACATGACTCCAAGGTCGTTGTTCACTGAATCGGTAACTCTCAGCTGGAAGTCTGTGACTGATGTGGAGTGTATGAGTAATGCCTAGGTATAAAAGGCCGTTTTCTAGTCATGTAGTTGATCTCCTTCATCAGCAACCAAGCCTCTCGAAGTCTACCTACTACCACGAACACATCACCAGAACCTGTAATCATGGAGAGTGCAACAGACCCGGGTCATTTACAAGTTCCGCAGCCGACACTCCTGGAGAACGCCGGCGTAGACATCCAAGATGTGAACAATGGCAACCCGGTTTGGAGCAGGTTGACCTGCTGCCCTTATACTTATAAACGGCGGGAGATTCTCTTCAGCACGTACGAAGAAATGGCCAAGAGCGAGAAATTTCAAGAGCAGGTTAGCAATGGAGAGAAGATAACCGTAGACACTGTGTGGACCAAGGGTACCCCGCGAGAAGCCGACGCCCAGCTTTGGGCGTCAAAAGGAGAGGTGTGGGACCAATGGGTTTCTCATTACGATAAGAAGAAGAGAGAGCACAGGCATTTGAACAACGAAGGCCTGAATGAACTACGCAATAAATTCGTCGATATCACTCCTGGCATACGCCGCATTTTCGTCGCAGGTCTCGGATCTATGTTTTACAAGCCCGCGACCATTGAAGCGAACATACGGCAACACATATTAGTCTATGGAATATGTCAGTCTGTCGTATCTGCGGCTACAATACAAGAGTAAGACGGAATAAGGCTTGGGCTCTATCGAAAACTAACACAAACACAGCAACAAGCAGGGAAAAGAGGCCCCCGAAATCGAAATTCATTTTGAAGACAACTGGTACACCCGGATGGATGAAGATTTCATCGTGGAACAATTCTCAAACCTCACCGGCCGCGTTAAGCCTCTTGTCAGTTGTTATGGGGTCGGATGGTCAAAATTGCATGAGAGCGGAGAAACGCTCTTCATCACTCTCAGGTCAATCAATCCTTACCGCGAGATGATGGCCGATTTTCTCCAGACAGAGGGAACTGGCCCGGACGCAGCCAAGAAGCCGATAGCAGTTATCTGCAGAAAAGGAAAAGAGATAGTGCCCAGAGACCACAGCAACTCGAGGGTTGTAGACTGGCTTGGAACGTATACGAACACACAGATCATCACGGATCCTGATGCGCCAATCATGGGGGAGACATTGTTGCACTATTAGCACTCTAGCATTCATTCGTTGGCTTGAAATGGAGAGACGGAGCAGTCAGGTACTTTGATGGATACTATCTAATAATGTCATACCGTTTCCCTTTAATGTCAAGCCCTATCTCTTTCCTAGTGTTCTCTGAACCCCCATTCTATCTTACCGCAGCAAGACTTCGAGCCATGCAAGATAATCACTACAGTAGTCCTTTTTACCCACATTGATCCGTCAAGCTCTGGTATTAGCTTGTCGCTAATGAGTCTTTTGCCGAAGTACCATGTGTTGGTTTGCGAAGCGAAAGGCCGATGAATGCACGTTTCGCACAGTAACTCTGAGTCTTCAAACGACCAACTTGGGGAATAAAGTCATGGCCAAAGCTCGGTTTGGAACGTTAAGCTTGCCTTCTAGAATACCAGTTTAGGCCATACTGAGGTCACCAGCTTACGTGTAGAAGACATGTCCGAAGTATCATTCCATCTTCCATTTCATCTGCATTTCTATCTACTTAGTTCGACTAGAGGCCATTCCCACCAGTCATCAGTGGCTCGTATGCAAGACATAAGCCCACGAATTGCCCACGCCCTCAACATCGCCTTCTAGCAGTTCCCATGGGTCATAATATCTCTCCAGCCAATCTACAACGCGACTATCGCTCTGATCAAAGCCAGATTCCTCCCACCAGGGTCGGCAGATGACAAGACTGGGTCTTTTTGGTGGCAGCCAATCTGCGGGTGCAGCGTCGGGTGCAGCGTAAGGTGCCCTCTCGCCCCAGGTATGCCCAGCGAGGACTTGTCGAAGCGGAGTGTTCAGGCCGAAAGTGATAAACGCGTACGCATTCTCATCCAGTGCAAATCGAACGCGTGTCTCGTTCCATCCACTTCCATCGTTACTCGCGCGGACTTTGACGAGAGGGTCGATGATGAACTCTTCTTGTATAAATTTAATGTCAGATTCCGAGTAGTAAGGATCCTCGAAGATGATCTCCAACGGACGAGTATCCGGACTTGAGATACCGCATTAGTGTACATCTATAATCATGGGTCAGACTTACGGATAGTCACATTTGGCTCTCCCGAGCAGAGCGAGAATTACATGGCGTGCCAAGAGATGGGTACAGATGGCTTGCTCGAGCTTTCCTCCTTCGGCTTTGAACATCGTACCTAGACCCATGAATACCGCTCTCCGGATGGTTGTTTGTGTTTGATTGACTATGTTTGTCAATGCCCACTGTTGCTTGTCTGGTTCTGGGACGGGTCGTTTCATCTGAGAGTATCCGATCTTCGTCAAAACGATTTGTACTGGGAAGGCAAGATTATGGTGCCATGTGTTTCTGACATCTTTGACATTATCATCCCAGTCGTGAGCTAGTTTAGAACGCGCTTCTTTGATCCAAAACTCTTCCTCTGGAGTGAGGTCTCCCTTTCGAACGAGCTCTTTCCTTTGAGGGAGCTCTGCAGTGGTAGGGTGCCGTCCTATACCCTTGTGTCCGACGTGAGCGACCTTGTCGTAATCTCTCCATGGTCCGCCTTCGTTGTCAGGCACCTGTGTGAGGGCATCCCTGATCGTAGCCTTATCTGCTCGAGCAAAATGGTCGGCTCCTGCTGACGCTGCTGGTGGCTGTCGCGCTTGCATGATGATGGATCTGTCTTGGTGGATTGTTGAACTTGTTTCGTGAGTATACAGGTATCGATTCTGTGGTTGTAACAGAAGGAGTGTAGAAGAGCTGCTTTTTATATTCTCCAGTCTATGACTCCGATATCAATTGCTCAATACTACAGTTCTATCTATACGTTTATGACTGTTCAGTGAAACGTGAAATCCACCTCCGCGAGATGCTAAGACGGCTAAGAAGGCTCACGAGCCATCTGGTGCCACTGTTCATGGTTGCAGCAAAACTTCGACTCACACGCGGGGACTGGTGCTGTTACCAGATTACTCCAAGCGATCTGCTCAGCTCTGGTAGCAGGAATGTTGCTTGCAGGCAACCGTGCAAGTGCCATTTCCGGGTATTTGAGGTGGTTGCGTAGTTCGCAACGACTCGAAGAACGTCGCACAATGATGCAGCCTCTGGGCGTAACATGCGAGGAATGTAGCTATGACAGATGCTCGGATCTTGTACAACCAAGGTTCGGTTCGGCATGCAAACCTATTAGCTCTTGTTACGAAAGTGTCATCGGAAGGCAGTGATTGCATGTCGTGGTGCATATGATCTTATCACACCCCACACTTGTGATGAAAGCGTTATACGCCAACATAGCCATAGAGCGCCTGCACAAGCGATATCTATCTCGAAGTCTTCATTTCAAGTTCTTGCGAACCCTACAGTACCTAGGTATGCTAGACCTAGACGTCAACTGCTGACTATATGAGACTTCTTTAACAAGCTTCCTATAATTTGCCGTAATTCCGTTACGCATAGGAAAGAGTGTCATGTTGCCATGCTGACATTAATGAGTAGAATTTCGGCAAAAGCTTTCCAGTATTAAGTAGACCACCACAGTATCATTACATAAACTTCCTAGCTACACCTATTTACATGAGCTATCCTATAGCTAGCCTGCACCTAGTCATAAGTTCGGCAGCCTTCGAGCCATTCTTCTCTGGGCCTCAAGATCCAAAGATACATTTTCCCCTCGAATGGCCGATGGTCATCTATCGTAAACCTATGGACTTCTTTGTATCTGCTGAACCACTTGTCGACACGCGTATCGGTATCATCTTCACGAGGCTCATTCGGTGCCAATGTTCCACGTTCCCGAGTATTTTTTGGAAACAGGATCTCTGTTGAATATCGGCAGATAATCGCGCGTGGCATGATAGCATTGGGCTCTTCTCTATCGTCCCAATTTTCTCTATGATCCCCATCCTTCCAAGTGTACCAGGCCAGAATCTGTCGAATGGAGTCTATGGGTTTGAAAGTCATAAAGATGTAGTCGCCGCTGTCTTTTTGAGTGCCGGTCCAGCCCGTTCCACCGTTGGTCGCTTCGACTTTGACCCCTTTGTTAAGGTACTTCTGGTCCAGGAAGTCATCAGCCAGATATTGGCAGTCATCCTTATAGTAGTGACAATCCTCGAGAAGAACCCTCCAACGTGCTTCGTTTGCTGGCTCTATTTTGTACGCGGCTTCGAAGATCCTACGAACCAACATGTGCTGCCACAAGCTGTCTTCATAGTCTTCGGTCTCGCTGTAGAGAAGGCTTCCAAGACCGATTGCCACAATGTTATGGATATCGCCTCCAGCCGCCCGAAGCTGTCGAGCCAGCTCGTCATCCGATAAATCAATAAATCCCGGCCATTCATCTTTCACCCTTGTAACCCCCGCGAAGCCTGCAAGTACATCTGTGTCGTCGCGCTTCGGACTCTCATTCTTAAGTTTGCCTTCGTACCAGAAGAGATTAGTCTCTACCGCAGGGTTCAGCAATCTCGTGTTTGCGTAAATTCCAATCCTATCAGATGGGTGTTTGAGAGTCTCAAGATTCCAAGGACATGGTTGTCGGCTGTCAGCCGCGGTCAATTGCCCCGGTTTGAGTCTGAAAGGACGAGTAGGCATCTTTGGTTGTAGGTAGACTCAAAAATTGATGTGTTGTATGCTGATATGTTGGCAATGGATATGTGTGCCTGCTGAACTGACTTCTGGGTTGTTGAAAGCTGCTTTATTAGCGCAAAGGTAACGAAGCACCAGAGAAGGACTTATATAGGGAAAAGTTTGATGACTCTACTCCGCGTGAGCATCATAGCAAACCTAGGCATGACTCCGATGAGAAAGATCGTGGAGCCAGGAATGGTCGATCATTGATCCTGAGCGCACGCAGGAGCGCCTCGTATACTTACTGACACTCTTCGTGCTACAACATAGGAGTCAATATGACTCTGACGGAAGTGAGTATCCGTGATAACCAATAGTCGGCGCGTATCGTTGAGAGCCAACTCGACACAAAGAAATCCAGAGCTTTGACACAGATCAAAAAGTGCCCCTCCGCGCCGCACTGAACTTGAATCCCTCCCCAAGGGGTAGACTCATCGATAAGTGACTGCGATCTGACTGTGTATGCTGCAATACACATGACCAAGAACAGATCAGCTCCTGCGCAAGTTGGGTGTGTGCACGTTCACCGTAGGACGAGATACTCAGCAATGTAAAGCGCAGTCAACCTGGATGCTCTTGCTAATCTAAGGGACGTGCGACATGCTGGTGGGGTATCATAATCGTTTCGTTCCTTTTACGTCACTCCATATCTCTTTCCCGATATTCTTCCAGTTCCCGACCTCATCATCACTTCTCTTTCTCCTGGTGAGGCCTGATCGCCTGACTTCCACGAGCCATACCACGCCCCAGTAAGCGACCGACAGCGACACTAGTACATATGCGAGCCATACGATCAGAAGCACGGATGTACCTTGATCCAGCTTTCCCCCAGCAACATCGATGATGTCACCAGCCACCGAGAAGACCCCAGAGATCAACACCGTGAGTAAGACGGCGGCGACAAAGGCGAATGCGCTCGCAAGTAATGGCCAAAAGATGTTGAAGTAGGCGAGAAGCTTTGAGTGTGGAAAGATGATGGCTGGAATGGCGGAGACGGCGGAGAACCCAGCACCGACGAGCGAGACGAGTAAGGAAGCGAAGACGGTGTATCGCACGCCGGCCAATACGGTAGACATAGTCCTGAGGAGTGTTGAGACTAGGATGGTTGGGGAGAGTGGGTCTTGAGGCCCGTCAGTTGGCGTTGTCAGTGTTAATAGCCCTACAGAAGTATGGTCAGCCAAACCTCGAACGCCTTCGAACTTGTGTTACTTACTGTCACTGGCTTCGCTATAGCTTTCGCACAGTTCCACAACGATAGTATCGGAAGCGTCGTCTTGAGCATCGGAAATAGAGCCCGAACACACTGTCCTGAGGTAGAGATAGTAGACGTCCGCTAGTGCCTCGCCGTCCACACCTTCGGATCGTATCGATGTTGCCTCTGACTGCGAGCTCTCTCGAGCGATCGTACTTGTATTCAGCTGCGGTTCGTCAACATTTGTCTTCATTTCACCGAGGTCGGTATACGTACTGCCACGATGTACTGTCCACCAAACATATGTTCATTGCTCCCCGCCAGTACCAGTACCAGCGTGAAGACGAAGCTTGCTACCGCAAATGCGATCGAAAGGATCGCAGAGAACCGGTACTTCATCAACACCCTCTTCGGTGTCTTGGGCGGCGCCGGCAGGGCCTTGTCGGTCGACTTCCGCAAGTCTCCAAGATCGGGCTCAATGGCTATCTCTTTCTCCATGTAGAAGGTCTCCTCTATGTGGTCCATCTTGCTCATCGACACACCGTGTGGTTGAAAGGCGCTAGCGGCGAGACTGACAGTGCTGACGGATGTCAGTACATAAGGACGGGTGAATGATGTCCATAGCAGAAGACATATGCACTGTAGCAGAGATGATAAGTAAGGCGCTTCAACATGCGTGCAACATGACGCAACTGTTCCTGGTTATCGGGAGTCTTCAATCTCGATGTCTGGGAAGCATGGATGTACGTGGTAGGCTTGTCGCATGATTATAGTGTTGCATGATAGACCTGCTATATACCGTCGCGGATACGGCACATGCAGCCTTGCGCGGGGATAGACCGGTGGTTTCAAACAAGCTGCTAGTCGCCAGATCGCGATGAATGTGCGAATTCGGCGATCAACGTTCCTGTTTCGGCGTCGCAGGACGTGGCCAAAGCGTGGCATTGAGCAATAACCAGCTTCAGATGGACGGGGTCTGAGATGTTTCGTCGACATCCAAACAACTTGCGCATGGCCGGGTCCACGCATTGGGAGTACGCGTTGTGCCGAACTGAAAGCGGTTGTGAAGTTCGCGAATGCGAGGTGGTAGCTCCCGCAGAAACGGGGAGCGCTTCACTAGTGCGACTGAAACGCCGAACTTTAGGAGCGACGATCGTGACCTATCCACATAATGCTTGAGCGATACCACGTCGCTCAAGTACATTTGCGAAAGCCTTTTGGTTGTCGGAGAGTGACCGAGAGTTGGTAAGATACTCGAACGCGCAGCTGTTCTACTGCTAGAAGAACGATCCTGGGGGATATTGTCCAAGAGGATGCGGCTGGAGGTTGGGAAACGCATCGCCCTAATCAGGGGTTAGTCCAACAGCACCTGATGAGCCGAGCTAAACGTACCCAATCGAGAGGTAAGTTATACTGGTCCAGATCCATTGGCATGAAGCCAAAATCGAACGGGTGACCAAAAGCACTATTGCCCATGTCAAATGCATCCGAGTCGGGAACAGCGAATCCAAGATTGTTGGTGTCGAAAATCTGGGATGGGGAAGTCAAATCAAGTTGGGCACCTATGTGAGCCGCTTTCGATGACGTTAGTAGATGTAAGCGGGTAGTGAATAAGATGCGGCTCACCGTGCGCCGAATCGGTAGCCTGTACACCACTGCCGTGAACTTTAGAGAGAACAAGCTTCACGGCTGTAGCAACCTTCCGTGCCTCCTGCGATCTCTTGCTAGCCCTGATCCAGATGTGATAAGCGGAGCGCAACGACGTGACGATTTCCTCTTGCGTCGGGGACGCTTGGTCCAGTTGCACCCCGCTTTCCATAAGCTCAGAACCCAGTGGGATGGGAGCAATGAGTTCCTCATCAAGCTCGACTACCAAGACGGTAGTGGCGAGTAAGAAGTCTTGCGCAATGATGGAAGACATGTACCAGCTCAAGGTAGAGAGACGCCACCCTGGTGAAGTTAGTCTACCTCCTGGTTGGACCTCAGCGTCAAGCTTGCTCTGGAAGCGAAGCATCTCTATAGCAGCGTTCAAGCAGACCCTGCGGGAGTATGTATATCTGCTATCGGTTCGGCCGAGTACGAAGTAGGGTCGATGCAACATAAGCTCGGCCTTCAAGAAGGCTACGTTCAAATACGTGTAGCGCATGAAGTCTGGTGATAAATCGGTACTAAGATCGTCGAAGGTGTTCGATGCTGGCGATTGTGGTATCTTTTCGAAGACATCTCTTAGTGTGGCGTCCATCTCCGTGATCTCTCCGTACGGTGGCAGCGAGGTAGCATTGACGAGATCTACAATCCTGGCCTGCATACTTCGCAACCTCGTGAGAACGATGGAGTAAAGCAGTTGCGTCAACTCAGTTTCGGGCCTTGAGGGTGGTAGTTCTAGCATGTCTTCGTGAAGGTCGTCTTCACCCAAGTTACGGGGCTCTTGAGTATCGTACATTTGCGGCATGATCGTCCGTGGCAGTCCGGCTTGAGAAGAGGTGGTAAAATCTAGCGACATGACTACGAGCCATTTACGACGCCTCAGCTCACCTTCGTGGGGCGAGATGTTCGGAAATCTCGACGGGTCCCTGTGGTATCCCATTCGGAAACAAAGACGTACAAGCATGCCAACAAGCATGTAGATGCTGAACTGGCTGTCGGTTGAGCGTAGAAATTCGGTACCAAAATACAACAAGAACGCTTCGATCGTGTATGGCGGTGTTTTGGTGTAGTTTGCAAGAATCATACCTAGATATCGACGTACGGACTCAGCAGTTGCACCACATGCAGTTTGTACCCATTTTCTGCTTACATTGCGCAGCCTTCTCGCGATAGAAGTTGATCCGCGCCAGATCAGGAGCCAGTTCAGTATCGCCAAGCTGATGAGCGTTCACCGCGGCTTGAAAACGAAAGCCAAGTGCCAGTGCAGCGTAGAGTACACCCAACCACATAGTTGAAGTTTCCGATGATTGTGTCCACAGCTCATTGTACTGTATTATCATTAGCTACTAGAGATGGGAATGATCACATGACCTCACCTGTTTGAGAAAGGTTGGCTTGTGGATGAGGGCTGGAGATATCAGTGGACGCTCTTCAACCGAGGTAGTGAGCATACTTGGATGAGATTCCATTGACATGAAGAATGTATCAATGAGACGATCCGCTTCTGGCCGCGGAGGAAGAGCAGCGAGGAGCTCTTCTCTAGTCGCATGGGCATTACGTCCAAACAGCAGCTCTGGACCGGGTACTTCGTTCACCACTTCATCATCCGGATCGGGCGATACGGGCACCTGGTCGAGATGTTCGCGCAGCTCTGATATCTGGGCCAGAATTAGAGAGGTAAGAGTCTCTGTGAGAGGTTTCACGTACGCTATCAAGTATGCTTGTCCAATGTCCACTGTTCGTATAGCTTGTTGCATCGCAGCTGAGATTTACGCGATCCGGCGTGCCAGGCAAGTCCCCATTGTTTCCTCCGTTATGATGTTGCCGCGCTTGTGATGGGCTGGATAGCGCGGGATTAGCTGTATCAACAGGATTTCCACCGATGAGGTTGGTGACGAGCTTTTCGAGTTGGTCAATCCTGTCATGGACGCTGTTCGGGATTTTGGGTTCCTTTTGCGCTGGTGGGTTGCGAACATAGACGCACGACAGCGAGAGTCCGCGATCGACACATGTTTTGCATGGCTGTTGTCGATCACATTTCAACCTCCAGACAATTAGCATGCAATTCTTCCGGTCAGGTAAGCTGATTCTTTACTTGCGTCGTCGACAAAGGGTGCAACTCAAGATGGGCTTGTCTCTTCGTCGACTTGGAGGTACCACTCTCGGCGTCTGACCATCCGCGCTCATTTCGAGTGGTAGTATCACAGTGGGTCAAAACAAGGCGTAAGGGCACAACTCGCGTTGTTACGAAGATGCCTTCGGGGCGGCCATCATCCCCGATGCCGAGGCTAACCGCTTCGGCCGAACACCCCCCGCATTCCATCTCAGCTTACGTCACTGTCAGCAATCATAATGCTCCTAGTTCGCGACTGCACCGGTGGAGATTATCCTAAAGACCGTTCCAAGGTTGCATTCTAATCATCCTTCTCGTTGTCCGACCATCTAAATCGCTGGCACACATGCTAAAGCCGCCATCTATCCAGTTCCTGCTCCGCCTGGTCATTGCCTGTGCTCCACACGGGCACAGTTCCGATCACGCGATCCCCGACTCAGCTTCCGGTGGCAGTCAATAGACTTTTTTTATCCAAGGAATCGGGCTGTCGCTCTTAACTTTCGGCATCACTACAGACTATCATGTGCCCATCCATCAAGCGATTACAGTTACGACCTATCTTATTTTTCTGGGTTGGGCGAAGGTACCTTTTCGAAGTCTTCATCCATCCTAGAGGTATGACATCCAGTTCATGTCCATGGAAGTATGCCTGTAAAGCAGTGCCCCAAAACAGGCGCCACGATTCGGATTTGACATTCCGGAGGCCGATACGCTTAATGGCATGCTGGGGCGCGCGTTAAGAATGTGGAACGAGGCGACACACAGGTTTGAGCCAAATCGTGGTAATCGTCCGGTTTTGCGGCGTGGACAGAATGGACGTTAGGTCTTCCCACCTCTTGAAGTCTCCGATATCGAAGGTGGACAAGCGGTAGAAGAGTGGAGTCGCTTCACAGCGCATTTGCTTACATGCGAAGAAGAGGCCAACAGGCTCGCGGTTAGAGATTGGCGCACCTTCGTATGTGGACGAAACCGACTTGATCGTTCTGCCTAGACAGCTGTATTCCCAGATTTTATTACGCAGCTCACCAGGAAGCCGAAGAAGAGCCGAGGTAAGCTGATTTCTCTTTGTACTATACCTATTAGTGATTGATCAACGAACATGCAAGGCCGCTTACAGGGCTTGTATTCTACTGGGAGCCATAATCCAATCCTGCATCTCTGATGTGAGTGTTGAGGACATATTGGTGGTTGGAGTTGGACACTTGAAAAGAATTATGAGAGAGTGTAGGTGTTTAGATGCAACTGCGGTATCAAGGGCGCGTGGGGGTTTAATGGCAGTGCCTCAGCTCAAGCTTTCCAGGAGCATACGATTTTCCATTCACCCCCCGTGCCTTGACGACCTGCAATCGACCCGATACATACGTCGTGAAAACGGAGTAAGTCACTAGTAACTGACAATGACCAGAATCGGCTCGCCTTCACGGTTGTCCATCATCGGCAGCTCTCAGGGCACCCTCCAGTCCTGCCTCAAATACAACCTCGATGGCGGGCTTTCCATATACAAGGCGCAATGCGCGCACAAGGTGAGCCCTAGTATCGGAACTGAGGGCTGACAATTGTAGCCTCGAACCTTTGACGTGAACCGTGTTCAAAGCCGGGAACGCGTTTGCGTTAGCCCTCCCTTGAGGTTCAACCTCTTCCTGGAACCATTTCGCCGGGTAAGCCCAGTGTACATATTGGAATTCTACCGACAACATAGAGGTTTGAATCGAGGTGATCCGCGCACACCGCTCAGCTCTAATGGCGACGATAGCGGCTTCGTGGCTATAAGGCATGGCCAGTTCCATTTCGAAGGTCGCTGTAGAATAGAAGAGTGAGTTGGCTTCGTGGCGGAGCTGCCGACAGCAGCAGATGAGACCGATAGGGTTGGTCGCGCTTTGTTCGCCTTTCCGCGGATGCATACGTATCATAGAGCCTGTAAACGTGAATAGATAGATGAGGTTGCGAAGTTCTGCAGGAAGTCGTAGAAAAGGCGATATGAGTTCGTCAACCCGCGCACTATTCCAGTTAGCAATTATGTCCCCGTGCCTTGAACAGTATTGTACGCGTTAGCCTTCAAGCTGGAGATGCGAGCTTACATCTGGTCGCCTGTTGTAATCGTCAGACCAGTCGACTCGGGGTTGAGCGCCATGATGCAGTGGTCACTGTAGCAAAGCTTAGTTGTTATGTTCGCGAAGTGGGCGCCAGACAATAGAGGAACGAAAACGGACAGAAGTGTTGCCCTTCAGTCTTCATGGTCTGCCCGAACAGGCTAGGTGGTTCGTAGGTAGGTAATGACGTCATTGGCTGCTACCTCTAGATAATGCAGCTTCTACCATCTCACAACTAAGCAGACATGTGCAGCGCGGAAGCTTTGGCATTGCCAGAACGAAGTTCGCGGCGATTAGTCATGCCGTCTACATGTCATCGAGAACAGAGATGTCGCCAGTCTTCGCTACACACCTGATGCGTCGCTCGCAACCCCACGCGCGGCCTTCCACCTCCCAAAGCATCATTGATAGTTTGTCCGGCCTACGAGTTCGACATCCGACTCCGAAAAATCCTCGCGCTTGACTTGGATATCGATAGCCTTCGAGATACCACCCAGAGACAGTCGATGACCTGATCTTCGCATACGATAGCGATCGTCACTAGAGACGTAGCTGCTCTTCCCGGAGCCTGAGGATGTTCTATATATCCTTGGAATCGTATGCTGGTACATCGCATGCATGGCCGGCATGCATGCGACTACGATAAAGAGGTTGGCTTCGGTTGCACACCAGTAAAGACCGGATACGTTGTCGTCTATGATTGCGCGGTCAGTCATTGTGCAGCCAAAAGGAGGAGCAGTACTCACAAGTCGGATTTGAGCTCTGATCGAATCGGACGAGAGCCCACAAGCGAAGGCAACTGACGATGAAAATGATGAAGCCCACAGCGAACATAGAGATAATCTGGACCTTCTTCTTCCAGGACATCTGTAGTCTCGCTAGCATGGGCAAAGGCAACGATAGGATTGCCACGTCGAGCATGATCTCAATGGCGCCGCGAATGAATCCAAATAGCCGAACGTCGACGGTGCATCGGCCATTTGTTTCGCCTTTCCACCCGTCCCAGAAGAATGAGATAGGTTGACATTGAAACATCATGGCTCCTGTATTGCCGATACCGAAGCAGGTAACAATCCCCATCAGGACAAACGTGGTCGTGCGTAGTTTTGGCGAGGTTGCGATCCGCAGGTAAAAAGCCAAGATGGACAGTTGACAGAAGGCTTCTGCGATTTGGTACATGAAATAGCTAACGTACAACCACTGCAGCGGAATTTAGCTTCATAGCGGACGCTAAAGGCGAGGCTTACCTTGAAGCTATTTGTTATCGCCGCTGGCGATATCCCCCACATGTCTCTTCCGAATCCGAGACGAGCCGCTAGGAGGCCCATCAGTCGACCATTTCATCTATAGATGGAGTGTTGGGAGGGATTTACCGACAATGACAGGGACGTTCTGAAACAACGAGGCCAACTACCCCTCGTCAGCTCTAGCGCCCTGCACGCTCAACGCTCATGACTTACCCCAGCCAGCCCGATGAGTAGGTCGTCCAGCCCAAGCTTTGCGTTGGCTGAAAAGAACCGATCTGTCAGTCGCAAGAAAACCATTGTTACAGCAAGGGCGCCGATAGATGTCGTGACAGCGATCATTGTCTCGCTCTCGTCCCTGATCGGTATGCCGCAAGCCGCATAGGTTTCGTTGGTCGCACTGAGTGATGCGGTAACAGTACAGTTTTCAGCATTGCAATTCGCGAATGCTGTCTGGAAGGTGGTGTCGGCACACAGACAGTCGAAGTTGTCGGGCTTGCAATTGCTCGAGGGTATAAGAGCTTGGAAACACTTTGCCTGTAGTTCTTAGCCGCTGGTGCCACGAAAGTTCGGTCATCGACTGACTGCACAAGTTGGTAGTTTTCGCAGAAAATCGTCTTGTGCGAGTGTATGTAGCACTAAGATGGCGAATGTCGCAAAGTACTGGACGAACTTCATCGCGACGATGATGGAGTGGGAAGGTGCGCAGCAGCGCAAGATTTGTTACCAACAAAGCGCTGGGAGTATATGTTCAACACGACGCATGATTCATGGCTCAGTTCAGCGACGATGTGTTAAGGGGGTTACCTTCTTGAGCGTCTGACAGCTTGCAGGATCCGATGGATCATAGCCGTTATTTTAGTCGCCCCGTCGAATTACCATGCCTCGAAAAGATCCGCGCGCAATGGAAGATGATCACTGGTAGACTCCAGGGCTTGCCATTCCTTGACAGGTCTGTGCCGCAACCGATAACATTGACGTCCAGGATTTGATAATTTTACCCTTTCGACACGGCCCAAATCCTGCGGGATTGCTACGCTTTATTCTACTGGCGGAAATGTTCTCGAGCACTTTGTATTTGCATTGATGCGGCGCAGCCGTTCTAAGCGAACCGTCATCACGCAGGAAGATACTGATATGGCGAAGGATCTGGCTTGGCAGGACAGGTATATCTCGATCATTTTACAATCCCGGCAACTGCCTTTCCTCATCACTGTCATCACCATGTCTATCGTATTATCAGCCACGATCGCTATTGCTTTCGCTGCATTTGCCATACTTTACGCCACCCGTTGGCATCTGGAGAGAAAGAATGCGAGACCTCTTCCCCCGGGCCCAAAGGGCCTCCCGATTATTGGAAATGTCAACGATATGCCCAAATCCGGCATGCTTGAGTGCCACCACTGGCTACGACACAAGGATGTCTATGGCCCTCTTAGTTCCGTCACAGTGCTAGGGCAAACTTTCATCATCATTAACGACCCTGAGATCGCATTCGAGCTGTTGCGCGATCGCTCAGCAATTCATTCTTCGAGACCCAGCCAGACCTTTAGTGGTGACATGTATGTGGAGAGCTCCATAGTAATGTGAGGGAAGTGCTCGCTGACCATGCGGACAGGGTAGGATGGCGTCATGCAATTGCGATGACCCCGTATTCCGCAGAATGGAAAATTCACCGCAAAAACATCACCAAGATAGCGAGCACGAACGTTTCCGTGTCCGTGTTTGATAAAGCGCAAGAGACGGAAGCCGCGCACTTCCTGCTCAACCTTCTAGAGTCGCCCGACAAGCTCTTTGATCATATACGAAAAGAGGCTGGCAGTGTCATTCTCAAGATCACCTACGGCTACACTGCTGTCGCCAATGGCAACGACCCTTTCGTTGATATGGCCGCCAAGACTATGGAGCAGTTCGCCGATGCTACAGTTCCTGGGAAGTGGTCGGTAGACATCTTCCCATTCTGTGAGTATCGCTTCTTGATGATTAAAATGGCCTCTGACGTCGGCTAGTGCGGTACTTGCCAACATGGCTGCCAGGTACGGGGTTCAAAGATACGGCGAGACGAATGGCGGCGCAGCTCAGTCAATGCACGAATCAACCGTATGAGTTCGTGAAGAAGCAAATGAGAGAGAAGAGGCATTCGCCGTCTTTCTTGTCGCAATGCATTGAAGGTCTCGGTTCGGATGCTGAGATGGAGTTTGTTCATAAGTGGACTGCATTGGCGCTCTACCTGGGCGGTGCTGATACGGTAAGCTGGTATGCAGATATCGGCGCCTCTGTTACTTTACTGACTCAATCAATAGACCGTGTCCTCCATCATGACCTTCTTCCTCGCCATGACTGTCTTCCCGGAAGTTCAAAAGAAGGCCCAAGAAGAGCTAGATCGCGTTATTGGCGGAGGCCGGCTACCCGTTAGTAAAGACAAGGAAAGTCTTCCTTACATCGAAGCGATCATGAAAGAGACCCACCGCTGGCACCTCGTCGCACCAATGTGCCTTCCACACTGCAGCACGGAAGAAGACACCTGTCGCGGGTATCGCATTCCGAAAGGCTCCATCCTGCTACCCAACAACTGGCATTTTACGCACGACCCCGAAGTCTATCCCGACCCGATGGTCTTCAGACCAGAGCGTTTCCTCGAAACACCCACTCATAAGAGTGAGCCTGACCCTAGAAACTTCATCTTCGGATATGGTCGCCGCATCTGCCCGGGCCGATACGTGGCAGATAACGCGCTCTTCATTACCATCGCCCAGACTCTCGCGGTGTTTGACATCACCAAGTTCGTTGATGGAGATGGTCGCGTTGTGGAGCCGGAGGTGAAGTTTGAGCCGGGAGCGATCAGTCACCCTGTGCCATACCGTTGTTCGATCAAACCGCGATCGGAGGCTCATGAGCGGTTGATCAAGGCTTCGGAGAAATTGTTTCCTTGGGAGGAAAGCGACGCCAAAGAGCTGGAAAATATAAGCTGGTAATATAAGGGCAAGCGCCCGCCCAGCTACATGCGTGTTGCGTGAAGCTTCTTTGCTACCTGCACATTGTGAGCGCAGGGGTTTGCGTAACGTCTGTACCATAACATTAGGTACTATGGAAGAACTGAAGACTTGTGGTGGTGTGAGACAAGATGCAATCACCCTCTTCGTATAGTGTTGAAATTTCCTCTAATGTACAAAGGTCGACAAGTGCCTGCGTGTATAAAACAGTGCTGACAACAAACTATGGTGTAAGTCGAGTAAAGTCTCAGCTCATGTAACACACACGTTCCGCCATTGCGTCTTTTCCTATTCTTTCTTGGGTAGCGGATTGACAAACTTGTCCTCATGGAGCTCTTCGTCTTTAGGCGCCACACCACGTTCTTGTAGTTGTTTGAGCGCCTCTGGGGCTACCTTCCCAATTTGGTGGCTCCTGTATTGATTGGTCTCAGAACGCGTCAGCCACGTCAAACGACCCTCGATTTCCGTATCGTGAATGTTCTCGATCGCTTTGTCTGCACCCTCTTTGGTTGCGAAATCGATGAAGCAAAGAATGCGCGGTTCTTTTTTCTTATCGCCGTAGAATGGCGCGAAGTCACTGATGCGTTCGATGGTACCATGTTTGGCGAACTGCTCGTCAAGTATCCGCAGCGCGTTCTGTTTCTGTTTGCCGATGCTGGTATTGGACGTCCAACCGGGTGTCTGAACTCTAACCATCAAGCGACGACCTTCGAGCAATGGGTGTACAGCTTCGAGTGCAGCGGCGGGGCCCTCGTCAAAGAAGTAGCGAGTAGCGTACTTGTGGTCTCGCTTGTCCTGCACAGGGCCCCAAATGAAGTCGTCTTTGAGAGGCCTGACGATAAGCTTCTTGCGCTGTAGCTCTGCGTCATTAAGCTCTGCAATGACCTTGGCAGCCTCTGCTTCGCTTCCAAGTTCCGCGAAACACCTGGTGTCGTTCTGGAAAGTGTAGCGATCAAGACGCATCTGCAATCTCTTGCTGGGTGAAAATTAGTTCGAAACCCTGTTTGCGAAATCTCCAAAGAAATGTTATAAGACGTACACGGTGCATCCTTTTGATCGTAGTAGATCCTCGACCTCTCCTCTTGTTAGTCGTTTTGGTATACCCAGTAAAGCAACCCCTGATGATGCGCTTGATGTCGGAGCGCGCGCATCAGTGAGTGCAATCTCTGGTCCTCTCGACGGTGTTTCGATGATATTATCCCGCCTCAGCTGGCTGGCAGCGAACTCTCGCTTCGTAATTGATGTTCTGATCAACGGAACAGCTGATTGAGCAACGCGTACGGAAGGCGTTGTCCGAGCAAAGAGACAGCGCCCACGAGAGAGTATCCTGGGTACAGCCATAGTCAATTGTGTTAATCCGAAGGTGATGGTATGTGCATCCGCAATCGATGATGGCGAATGATCGCGTCTGCTCGAAAAGACGCCAGCCGCTATCGCGCTAAACAGAGAAAGTTCCTTGGCTTGCCAAGACCTGGCTTATCGATAACACTGTCACGAAAGCAGCGAAACTGCAACCGCCACGCTGTGCAATCTTTTGCAACGATTCGCTCGAACACAGCTTCGCCCATTTATTTTACTGGCACTGCAAAGAAAGATCTGATCACATGTCTGCGAGGAATGTAACAAGACAATTCATTTAATATCAAGCTACTTAGATATCATCTAGCCCTAAACTGTAAGACTGGCCCGTCTTTCTTGCTTGCAAAGACGTCCTGGATCTGATATTCAGACGCCCTTGTCCTACCGACTTCCAAGTCTTTGCTTCCAGCACCCAACGTCGTGCCCGGCGCCAGTCTCAGATCATACAGATAAAGTACCCTGGCAATCGTTACGGACAGCTCAACATACGCGAGGCCCTTGCCAATGCATCCACGAGGACCGATGCTGAAGGGGTTGTACGCCGACTGCGCTGCCTGGAGACTGCTATGAAGCGGGTTCGCGGATGGATCAGATAGCCATCGCTCAGGAATGTAGTCGAACGGTTGAGGGAAGTAGTCGGCGTTGTGGTGAATGGTGTAGATCGGGACGCCCACGTCGCATCCGGCAGGAATGTGGCGACCATCGATATCCAGACCACCGGCAAGGACTTCTCGGGGAAGAGCACCGGCGACTGGGGGTGTCATGCGCATGGTCTCATCGATGCAAGCACGAAGGTATGAGCAGCCGCTGAGCTTGGGTCCGGTTACGATTTCCTCAACATCATTGAATGTTTCCCGGATCTCTTTGCAGACTTTCTGCATCGCTGCGGGGTTGTGTGCGAGGTAGAAGAAAGCACCAGCCATAGCCGTTGAAGTTGTATCGGAACCAGCGATGATCAGCAAGTTTGATTCGCCCCAAAGCTCATCCATGCTGAAGCCTTTGCCGGTTTCTGGGTCCTTCGCGTTGAGCAGGTAGTAGAAGAAATCTTTACGATCAACGTCGACGCCCAACTTTGTTCGCTCCATAGCCTGACCCTTGCTGTACTGCATGTACTGCGCCCGCTGGCCTGCAATCTTGCGGAAGAAGAGCTTGTCCAGGTGCCAGTTGTGGATGGTAAGGTGCGTTCCGCAGATGAGATGTCGGTGTGCCGCGTTGCCGACCAGCTGAGTTGCGAAACGATTGGTAGGGCTTTCCAACATGCCAAAAGCTTTGCCGAATACTAGATCACCCATGATGTCGAATACGAGCCACTCGCACCAATGCGCAGCGTTCCAAGCGTCGTTCCAGCCACCATCCTTCTCATCGGCGAGGCTCTTCTCGGCGGACCAGTTGTTGCTCTTGCGTCCGAGCAGTTCGCAGCCAACACGTACATTTGCCAGGATATACTTCTCAAGACTCTTGATAGCCGAGTCGCTGAAAGCGTGGCTCATCACACGTCTCTTGCGTGCATGCTGCATCTTGTCGATAGAACTATGGACGCTGACCGCTTTGGGTGTGCTGGGGAATGCTTCGTAGAACGACGCCTTCTTGACGTTCGATCGGAATCCATAGATGGTCTTTAGACCAGTGGCGGTGTTGACAGAAAGTAGATTCGGTCCAAGACGGACGTACGGTCCATATTGCTCGTGCGCGCGGTGGAAAGCGAGATGCCGAGAGCCCTTATAGGCGTAGTACGCGAGATAAATATCTGTTATCTTTGCGAGGAAAGGGCCTGGGTATGATGCAAGAGGATGGAAAGTCAGGCGGTAAACGATCACTCCGAAGATCTGAGCATGGTGTTAGCTTTTAATGGCATGGGAATGGGACCAACGTACGTAGAGAACCAGCGCTCCGAAGATGGAGGCCAGTAGGAATAGAATTGCCATATTTGCGACAGCTCAAGGCGAGTTGAAAGTGTGTTGTGTTATTGGTATCGAACAAAGATCATTGCCACAAACACGTGTGCAGTTGTACAATTCGTGTGCACGAAGGAGAGTACCAAAACCGTTTCACTAACGAGATCCTGTGCAAATACAAGCACATAAGTACTCATTCACCCTCCACCGCCATCCGCAGCTCCCGCAATACCCTCCCTGATCCCAGTTCCATCGCGATGACAAAGAATAACAGCGTTGTGGAGTAGTCTCGTGCCCTTCTCGTCGCAGAATCGGCGAGCGGGTGTCTTGGGTATACGTAGCGGCGTGTCACGGCTAATGTCGGATATCGATGCAGAACGCCGTGTCGCAATCACGTGCAGCGGATATCACAGCAAGCGAGGACACTAGTGCGGAGACCCGTGCCATCCCACCTTTTTCGGAATTGGAAGGGCGCGGATATCGTGCGCGTAAGCCTGGCAACAATCACGGTTGCAACGGCAGTGGGGTAGGAACGATTTTGCATCATGCATACCTAGGTAGTCAACAACGCGTGCACAGACGCGGGCTCATATCATCTTGAACTAGCAGGCACACAATAAGTTCACTGCGGCTAAGGGGGTGGTAGGAAGCACTTGGGCAGTGATGAGCTGGAGCTGCAAGCCATTCACTATCAGCGCTTCCAGCTGGATGCTTTCTCAGATCCGGCAAAGATCATAGACTGAGCACGCAGAGGCGGGTAATCGAGAGGTATCGCTAACGCTCTCATCGTCTGCCACGTGGACCGTGAAGCACCAATACGTGGGACGAGCGTTCGGTTGGAAACAATGACTACAGGCTGGTATATGATTGAGATCAGAGCCAAGGCGAAAGATCGCGAGTGTAGTCGCGGTTCTTGATGTTCGCGACAGACCTGACGAATGAAATGGCGCGAGTATCAAAGCGGATAGTGCCGTCTTGGCATCCTTCGAGCTTCGCGAACATCACCAGGCGTCACGATAGTCGACCCAAACGCGCAACAGAACGGCACCGGCCCATTGACCCATCGACACCCTTGCAGTCTGTCTGGAAGGCCAATTCCTCAAGATGTCTGTCGCCAAGAATGTGAAGACTACTGTCTTTTCGGTACGCAGCCCGACCCGATCTCGATACGCCTTTACCTTGCCGCCCCTCTTCGGCCAAGAACCACTATGAACACGGGTACTAACTGCAAACTTGTAGAAATACACCGTCCAGCCTACCGGAATCTATGCCGCGATTAACAGGCTCTTCGCGCTCGACCCCAAGCGCTCCACGGGTATCCCCATGAACCCGCAATTCCGCAACCCACCCCCAGGCGGTCTCGACCCCAACTCTTACGACGACCCCGTCACTCTCCCTGCCGCTGATATCGCCGAGAACCCATACTGGAAGCGCGACGTGCGACGACGATACCCCAGGCTCTCGACAGTCACCCAGTCCGACGCGGTTGCGCTGCTCGAAGTAGGAAGCGCGGCAGCACCCAAGCAGGAGCTGATTGGCGAGGCAGGCACAAAGTCGCTGGTCGCGGCGAAAGAGGAAGGCGCCAAGGGACTGGCGGTCGCGTTTGAGAAGAACACCGGGCTTGCAAAGGATGTGCTGGGACCTGGTGGTATGCCTCCGCTACCGAGCGGGCTGCACAACACCCTTGCTGGTGGACACAAGCGATACGAACTGGAGAACGAGCAGTCATATGGCACAGCGTAGGTCTTTTTATCTGGTCTTGGAGGAATGACACTAATGTGATACAGATACCCATGCCGGACGTTTGCTTAGAGTACAAGATGAACTGGGTAGGTAGAGAAAGATGATTCGTTTTCTGTATATATGGAGACATTTCTTCCATGCTTTCCGTGTAGCCATCAGTGAACTTTCATAACACCCCTTGTCATGAGCGCGTGGGAGTGTTGTAGGTGGAGCGCACGTGTCCAAATGTCTGATCCATGTCTCTTGTGTCTCACCGTGAGTTTGTGTCGATTCTTCACCTCGCATCCTTTGTTGTTCCTTATCGTCCGTCACCGCGTCGAGAAAGGAAAGCACGACGTGTGTTGATGTCTTGGCGCTGTTGACAGCGACTGCCTCGCCGTCACTTCCATATCCCAATTGCCCCCACCATCCACCCCCGCGTCGCTCCTGTCCTCTTTCCACATCGTCGCAACCGCAGTCATGAGTGCTGTGTCGGAGAAGGGACCAACAGAGCCGGGTGCTGATCCCCTCAACTTCATCTACGCCTGCTCGGTGTGTTGCGCCTCCTTCGCCGATGTCTACGAAGGCCACAACGAGACAGTCCGTGGCCTGTCAGATGGTATCAACCCCAAAGAGCGCCTTGTGACGCGCCTGTTCCTCGCCAGTTGCTGTCATGTCTTCTGCAGCAGTCATTTGGAGGGCGGTGGTAAGTGAAGCGCGACCGAACATCAGGCAGCTGCTGACAGTCACGACAGGACCGCCTTTCCATACAGCCGGACAGCGACCCAACGCACCCTGCCCCGTTTGTATCAAGGAGAAAGGCGACAGTGAGCCGCGCGATCTCTTCTCGATACGCGGCTTCAAGAAAGATGAATACGATCCAAATATTCCGCTCGCATGGTTCACCGCGCCTCCCATCCGCCTCGATGGTAGCGGAAAAGAGATGGAGGCACTGCGCGTACGTCATGTCACCCAAAGGTCATGCCACCAGCTAACAATAATCAGTTCCAGTATATTGCGCTTATTCGATACTGCCAGAACACCTATGCGACCCGCAAGCCCCTTCAAGAAGCCTTAACCAATATGGAGAAGGAACTGGCTAGTGTGCAGGATCTTGCCTCCAAGGAACACGCGAAAGTCATTACACTCCAGCAAGAGAACGAGCGACTACGACTGCAGAAGGATCAGTTTCAAGCCATGAAAGCTGAGGTTCAGCGACTCCAGGGTCTCGATGAAGAGGTTGCGCATTTTCGCGATGTCAACCCAAAGGACCTCGCAACATTCCTGGCAAACAAGTCAGCAATTCGCCATTACTTGAAGCTTGTGCCTATGCTAGTCGAGTAGGCCGAATTCGCCATGCTACGAGGCATTTGCTAACCGCTCCAGTCAAAACGAGAGGATGCAGAAGCGACTCGCCCAACTCGGCTTTGCGATGGCACTAGAGCCTGTACCTAACTTCAAAGGCATTGACCCTCACGCATTCGATAGCGACGAAGCTTCGCCTGAGCGCAGCGGACGATCGGACGGTAAGCTGCGAACGACCGCCTCAAGCCATACCGCCGGTAGATCGGCTCATACAACTGGGCGGTTGGGAACAGCATCTTCAGGGTCCTTTGTCCCGCGACCCATGAAGCGGCAACGCCTCGATTCACCCCTTCCCACCAACACCCAAGCCGGCCATCCCTCGAGCCGAGATGCCATGCCACCTCCACCAAAGCCGATGTCCAGGATGCAATCCATGCGCAAGATGTTTCCGAGTCTGCGAAAGAAGTTCTCCAGTGACCGCTCCAGGTCCGCAGCAGATGGGTCCTTTGAGGACGATGCAGACGTGCAAATGTATGATAACGGACACTGGCAAGATGTTAAAATCGGTCGTCACCCAGGACACGATGACCTTCGCGGCGAGACACCGTACATGTCGGGAGCGCTGCCCGTAGAACAGCCCCATCAAGCCTCTGACGTTCGAGGATCGCAGCTACTTGCTAGTGTAGCTCTCCGAGACAACCGGTCAGACTTCACATTCCGAGCATCATCTCCAGTCAAGATGAACAAGCAAAGCAGTGCTCATCGTCCGGTTCATTTGCCTACTGAGCCTTCATACATTCGTCTTATGGATGGTTTGTCGCGCGACAATGGGATGGAGCTGGGTCTGAAAGATCCTCGCGAGCAGACGAACACGGACTATCGTAACGATGGCAGGAATAGGCAAGTACTACCTGCTCATCGACATGAGCACAACGCCGAACGAGTTGATTACCGGAGGCCTTTGGATCTTGGACATTCGTTCATGCACCAGCCGCCACACAGATCTCCGGCCTCTGTCGATGCGCGTCAATATCCTTCTAGCGACCACCAGACTAACGAATACACAAACAGAGCTCACGGCATGCCGGATCTTGGCCCCACTACGCCAGCACCGAGGCGCCAGCAAAATCCCGGCCATCAGATCGAGAGTGTAGTAAGTCCCTATTTCCGAACCGGTCATAACCAGGCCCGAGTCCATCCATCGCCCGGCCGCGCTGAACTTCAGGATAGTTCCGATCATTCCGGCGATTATCGGTCACGAAGGTCAAGGACGAACCAACCTCGGGCCGGCTGGGTTGAGGCTCGCAGTCTAAACGGCCTCTCATTCTTCGATTCACCCGTCGATTCTAGGAACGAGCCTATCAAGGTGGACCACCGCCGCAGATTGGTAGAGCTAGCACCAACGCCACACTCACATCAGCATCAAAGACGTCATCTTAACTCACGTGGCTTCATCATACGCCCGGAAGAGGGACGCTCACCGTATACCAGCGACAGTGCCTATGGCTCTTCCCAAACCCGAGAATTGTACAATAGAGACGCGCCCTATTATTCCCAAGCAGCGGTTGATGTACCGCCCGCATATCGCCCAAGTCGTTCCCGCATCGGTCAGGTGCCCTCTATCATGCCTTCCGTTGTTTCAAGCCGTCCACCTGCCCGGGTCCAACCTCAATGGGAGAACCTGCAGCGAGCGGGCGTCAGGAGTAGCCGTAATGCTTTCAGTAGTGTTGCTGGGAACAATTATGCTGCGCCTTCGAGGACTGTCTTCCCCAGCGCTGGTCGGCGCAATGTTAGACGGTAAAGGCAACCTATGCGTTTCTTTTCCTATCGAATAGTCAATTGGAGTACTTGGCTTCATGAATGGCCATGTTCGCATGGGGATTCGGCGTATGTATGACCGGGCAAAGAAATGATTAGATTCACAGTTCTGCTATCGGCGAGTTTCATTTGTGAGCTACTCCTGCAAGACGAAGCTCTAGGTACGATCAGCGTCAACCTCGTCTATATGCTTGACTGTTAAACACCCCTTTATGACTGCGATTGCAGCATGCAAAACGGAGATGCGCACCGCGTTCCGCAGACCGTTCGATGCGACGATCAAAAACCATCGCAGTGAGCGGATTTGCTGTCACGCATCGCGTTCAATCAAGAGTTTGCCCCATGATGCTTAGCACGCCCACGCCTTCCCTCTCTGAACACGGAGTCTGTCGATTCGACTCACATGTGGGTAGACAGCCGGCAGATGGGAAGCTAAGACGAATGCGGTAAGGATCAAGGAGGTTTAATATGCGAGGACTATGCAACGAAGCTTCCTCGGCATGCAAGGGCCAACGCCGGTCTTCGATGACATTCATTGGCGGAGTATCATGCGCAACTTATCGTGTCACATACGCACCTGATTACTTATTCTCCATGTTGCAGAACTTCGACAGTTGGCGCGATGGTTTCATCTTAGCGTTTTTCTTTGCCGACAGGCCGTTGTAACCTCCCCACGAATCGTAACCCCTGCGTCCCCGCAAAGCCACCGCGCATGACCCACGATCCCGGTTATTGAAGCTTCCCTTAATATGGCCAAGCAATCTATCAGGCACCGCGGCTTCAAAGCTTCAGAACGATGATGCCACATCCATCACTTTCATATTGGCATCAGATGAAGGCCCACTCATTGCCATGGAAGGAACGGAAGGCAAAGCCCGTCCATTTGTGGGACATTGAATCATTGGCATACGAACTATCCGTGGTATAAGAGTAATGTTTGCCCAGCAGGTGAAACATAGGACTGTACAAGCATTCTGCAAACCTTCACACCATGCTGTTCAACACTCTTTTGGCGGCGGCCGCTCTGGCCAGCACCGCCTTCGCGGCTCCTGCTGAGAAACGCCAAACTTCTCGCAAGATGAAGTGGTTCGGAATCAACGAGTCTGGTGCCGAATTTGGCGAGAAGAACTTCACAGGTGTCTATGGAAAAGAATACACCTGGTACGATCTCAACACCATCGACAAGTTCATGGACGAGGGAATGAACATGTTCCGTTTGAACTTCCGTAAGTCACACAACCCCCATATCCCACATCTTCCCAAAGACCACGACCTAACACCCCCCAGTAATGGAGCGCCTAACCCCCAACTCCCTCACCGGCGCCTTCGACCCCCTCTACCTCGGCAACCTCACCGAGCAAGTAAACCACATAACCTCCAAAGGCTCGTATGCCATGATTCAACCTCATAATTATGGCCGCTTCCTAGGCAACATCATCACCGACACCTCTGCGTTCAAAACGTGGTGGACCAACGTGGCCGCAGAATACAAAGACAACGACCTCGTAGTCTTCGACACAAACAACGAATACCACGACATGGACCAACAGCTCGTCTTCGACCTAAACCAAGCCGCCATCGACGGCATCCGCGCCGCAGGCGCCACAAAACAATACATCACCCCCGAGGGCAACAGCTGGACCGGCGCGTGGACGTGGATTAGCTCTGGTAACGGCGCCAGCATGGTTAACCTGAAAGACCCCCAGAACAAACTCGTGTACCAAATGCACCAGTACCTCGATACCGACGGCTCTGGTACTTCGGCCACATGTGTTAGCGCCACGATTTTCAAAGAGAGACTCCAGGCTGCGACTAAGTGGCTTAAGGATAATAAGAAACAGGGTGTTATTGGTGAGTTTGCGGGCGGGAATAATGCGCAGTGTATTTCTGCGTTGCAGGATGGACTCAAGTACATGGGTGAGAATAGCGATGTTTGGCTGGGAGGGATTTGGTGGGCGGCGGGGCCGTGGTGGGCCGATTATATTTATAATATGGAGCCTACGACGGGAGTTGCTTGGACGGGAATCTTGCCCAAGATCAAGAGTTACTTTTTGTAGATGGGGAGGGCTTGTGAGGGAGAGGTTGGTTGTATATACTTTGCTCTTTTCTTCTTGTAGTAATCCATATGAAGAAGCCTTCATTCACTACCGTTCCTGCTCACCCTGATACACACCATCTTGTATCCAACAACCCCCATCTAAGGCTGCCCCTCCCAAGCCCTACTCAAATACTCCTCCGCACTCATAAACCTGTACTCGGGAAACCGCTGATTAAACTCATCACTAACATCCCACGCCCCCCTCCTAATCGCCTCAAAGAACATGATAACAAATGCCTTGCTAAACCCCTCCCTCACATCATCCGTGACAGTAGGATGACTGATCAACGGCAACCAACTCGCTTTCAATACCCCCTTGGCTAGATCCTCGCTCTTGACATACTCGACGAGCCAGTCTCCGCCTCTGATCTTCTTGCCTAGAGCCAACAATTCGTTGATGGAAGTGCGGCATCCCCTGATACCACCGATCTTCGGCCATGGACGCGTGTCGTCTAGCGCGCGAGCAAGGATCTCGCAGTCGTCTTGGATGGCGGTGATGACGATGGGTTGGTTTCCATCGTCTAGAACCATGGCACGTCGGTTTTCGAAGTCGAGGAAGAAAGGCCAGGTGTAGAGATCGCGTTCGAGCGGGTATGGATGCGCGAAGTAGTCCATGAAGATGGAGGGTTGGAAGAGGCAGTATTGCATCGATCCGAGTTCACCCTTGGCGTCTAGGTCTTCGAGGTACTTCCGGATGTAGTCTTTGTTGTCGTAGCTGGGGACGCCGGCGTAGTTTGCGATGCCCCATTCGCTGGGTGCGAAGCGGGAGACGCTTGCGGCGATGGCGGCGTGGATTAGGTTCTTCTGGGCAACGTTGTCGGTGTCGAGGTGCACGACGAAGAAGGATAGGAGAGTGTGGAAGCCCTGGAGAGCCGTGGTGAGGCCATTGATGTCGGTGTAATCGACTTGCTTGTAGGTGACTTTGGGGGATGGGTGGGGTTCAGTTGGGGCGGACCGCGTGAAGATGGTGATTTCGTGCTTGCCGGAGGCGATTGTGGATTTAAGCAGGTTGGTTGCGACGTCTTTGGACCGCGTTAGCAAGGTACGGCATTTCTAGCAACGTACGAGTGTCATCTTGTGTCTCGATAGAGGCGGGGTAAGCATATGTAGAAGGAGAGGAAGCATACTTCCGGTGCCGCCTGCGACTGCGATCTTGACCATAATTGCACGTGATCTTATAACGCTCTTTTAATGTCGAAGGATTCAACTGTAAGCGCTACGGATTACATGCTGCGTCCTTTTGTATCTTCAACGGCCGCTATCTATCGCTCCGCTCTGAGCCCCCGCAATTTTCGCTCCGAAGGCGTGTCTTCGGCGGTGTACGGCATGGTCCTGACTCGTGTCACAAAACCTCAAGTTGTGAAGCTACGATCTCGGCTATCGCGATATCATTCATGTTTGAGTCTTTCTTGTGATGCTCAACGCATACCGATTACATGAGAAGTTGTGACTGGGCTGAACGCTCTTTACCAATGTTGGCGGCGATCTCATATGAGCTGCCACCAGAGCGCGATGCTGTACAACCCAACGTATTGTGTTGCTTGGTAAACGTTGACTGTTGATCTTGGTTGACTTCAAAATGCGCAGTGCGGCGAATCGAAACGCCTCTGTGACGTACTGCGAGACAATAGATTGGCGAACCAGGTTTGAGAATGAAAATGTAGAAAAGATTGGAAGGACGGAAGTGACAAAGACCGTAAATGGCGAATAGATGGATATCCGTAAGTAGATGTAAAGTAAATGGCAGCGAAACATTGGAATGCTCAAGCATCGATCAACGGTACCGCCGGTAAAGGTTTCTCAGGCAGCGGTTTACTCGGCAGCGGCTTCAACGCATCCTCATACGCTGGTGGTCTCGAGGAGCTGCCTTCATCCGGATCATCGCGGTACGCACCGTGGGCGTTCAGCAGCGCGCCTTCTTCTTCAGCCACCCTATCCCTCCTCATGTTCTCCCAGACATCCTCCATGCCGTCCCACTTCATGAGCTCGCGCTGCGCAACAATCCACCAATACATCTTCCATAGAAGAAAGATGGTGAACAAGCCGCCAACGACGCTGCTGAAGATGACCCAGAACAAGCCCCACCATTCCCAGTGAACGAATTCGCCAAACATGTCGCGAAGCGTTCCTTTCTTGCCGTAGTATCCCCATTCTTCTTTGCGGTAGAGGAAGCGACTCCCCTCTAGTTCCCAGACATCGCTGCCGAGGAAGTGACCTATTGTGCCCCAAATTGTCAAAGACTTCTTGAGAGGGAAGGTGTAGGCTCGAGCTACTAGGCGCACATCGACGATTTGGTACTCGTAGATCTGGTCATCCGTGGTAGATTGACCGAACGGGTCGGCGACCTTGGCTGGTCCTCCTTTGTCTCCTCTTTTCAGAGGTGTCCCCTTAATACGCATCCACAGCATCTTCTGCTCCGGGTTGTTGAACTTCCAAAGAGGGTCGTCGGGGTACCGCGACTTCCCAATCACGTCCAGCGCAACGCTCCAGTACTCCGCATGCGCGTCATCGCCTTCTTGATTATCGCTCGGGTTTGTGATGTACAAATAATCGATATACATTCGCGGGGTATGTGTCAAAGGTACTTCGTGGCACCATCGTCCTCTGTCACTCCAGCTTTCTCGACAATACGGGTCTTCGGAGCTTAGACCCCAGTACAGTTCCGCGTGGGAGAGGTTTTGGCGATATCGTGTAACGAGGAAGGTGGAGGGTGTGGGTATAGTCGGTAAGGGATATAGCGGGCGATCGTTGAGGAGGACTGTGCGATTATCGTGCGTGAGGGTTACGTTGAGAAGCTATAGCGCTCAGGCTGGTTAGCACCGCTCTTTAGGCACATGCTGGACTTAGGCTCGACACTTATACATACAAGCACATTATCACCAGTTATGACCTCGTGATCTTCAGGGTGCTCATAAGGGCAGTCCTTGCATTCTATCTTCGCGATGTAGGACGATCCGGGTACCACGGCTGCGACCGGTGCAATGGGCGCCTCGCACCCTTCAGGCACTTTTCCTCTTCCATCTAGGTCGCAGTCGAGTACTTCGGGAATATCTGCGGCATAGGCCGAGGACAGAAGGCCGGCCAGCAGCGCGATACCGGACAGCAGCATGGTGGGCTGGTGGTGGAATGATCGAGGGCAGGTGCCTGGCGCTCGTCGCGGCCGCCGCTGTCAGGGGCGTAGCGTGGCGGAGCCTTGCAGGGGTGTCGCGCGATTAGCCGGCGATCATGAGGCACGAACGCTGGTTCCCCGCCAAACTTCTCTGCCACCTCCGACATGCCGCATCGGAGGATATTGATATTGACGCCGATGCCATCATTATGTTCCCACGTCCAATGGAGTGTACTAATGCCACCGAGGTCTGTTGCTGACGCGACTATGCCCTGCCACAGGAAGCTTACTCGAGCGAGCCATTGACATCCCACCTCTGTAGAACGAATCCTTCCTCTACGTCCAGCGATTGCCATCTTCTACTCATATCAAGCGTGGTTGCTATAAGTGCTGTCTTCTTCTCGGCGATTCCTTTCTATTTGTTATCAAACCATGTCGAACAAATGTCTACTCAGTGGTATCCTCTCTGCTACTCCCTTTCTCTTTCACCGCGATCATGGCGCAGCTTTCCTGTGAGCGACGCAGTGGAAACATCATTAGAGTCGACGATCACCTAGAAATTGAATTCCACCGGACATCTATCGATCCCGGCCGCGACCTGGCCGATATACATCCTGACGACGGTATATTTCCTCTGCATTTTCTACAAAGAAACAGCAATGAACAGCAGTTTGATGAAGAAATGTGCAGGGGGCTGTATCTACACATGAGCCGTGAGTTGAGCACCAGAAGATCTACTCAAACGTGCTAACCGTTGTGCAACTACAGAGAGTGAAGCCATGTGGATCAAGTTCATCACAAAAAGGCTTTACATTATCCGTATCTATCTTGACGATGTGAATGTGGTGACTGGCCAAACCTCGCAAGTACAAGACCAGCAAGATTATTTCGTCGTGCCCGATCAGAGATTCGTCAATGGGTACAAGTCCAACATCAATGCGCTTACGACGCAGTTTCGCCGTCCCCCATATGGAGCCGATTCGACACAGCAAAATACCCAGACAATACGCTTCGAAGTAACGCCATCCAGGAACCCTAAAGAACTGGGAATCTTTCATACGCAGGCTGGACGACTTAGCCATACTGTGGTGACGGTGCCCGCCATGACTGTCAAGGATTTCAGGAGGAAGTACGAATTTCAATATGAAGATAGTGCTAAACTCTCGATCAAATTTACTAGTCAAGGGGTAGATATTGACGGTACGATGAGATCACCTGTTGTAACACTAGCTGACTTGATTGTAGACACTTTGTTCATTGCTGATTGCGTCAACCTTCCTGTATGTCCTTCGTGTCTCGCCATGGCATGGACTGTGCTGATTTCATACATAGGATCAATGGAAAACAACAACAACTGTTTGCGGCGGACCACTACGCTCCCGCTTGGTCAAGCTCGACACTTATCCAGCTATCGAATGGGAACCACATCACACAACTATCTTCAACGTTCGCATGCTCAATTCCAGAGCAGCTTGCGACCTGTTTGGTGCGCCCAGGTTTGAAGAGACTGACAAAGAAGAAGAAGAATTGCATGGAATAAATGGCGTTCTCGTGGAATTCGACCCCGAACCAGCATCAACAAGACCTTTGGTACCGTTTCGTAGAGTACCGCGACCCCTCGAGATATATTGAGGGGTGCATGTTACAATCTTCTGATAGAACGAAGAGCACGGCTGAATCGAGCGAATTAATGTAGCAAACTCTGAAGGCTGGGATTTGAAGATGAGCGATGGGCTCTTTTCTCGTATTTGAGTATCTGATATTAGTTGATAATGTCGCATCAATCAAGTAGCCTAAGGTCTTTCCATACGACCTGCAAAGTGCGTTATGACTTCTGCGCAGCGATCGCGAATTCACGCATTAGATCTCAGCCATTCCTCCGTCTCCGTATCTTGCGTTCTCGTCCCTGCCGTTTTCACGATTGCGGTCCGTACCGGTGTCGCTCGTATAGTCATCGGCGTTGTTCGTAGGTTTCCTGTAGAGTCGGCGGCCCAGACGGTTGCCTACACTATGCTAGTCGAGATGACGGAAATGTGGGCGAAATTCCCTGATGCGAAAGGCGCACGCGACAGATCAGTCGCGTCGAGTCGTGAAGTGGTTGGTTGTCGTGTCAAGTTGCTGGACCCTATGACGTCACTCATGAGATCACAACGCGTAACACACGACCTCGGGCCATGAATTGGTTTAACAACCTAACAACCTCAAAACTCAAACACCTACACCAACAACTTCAGACTACATACCGCCACATATCCATCAACTCATCAAACTATACAATCCAAATCACACATCCAACCCACCAACCACCACCACAATGTCCAGCTCAACATTCCAATCCTTCAGCACCTCCTCATCCAGCACAACCATCAACGGCCAAACAACCTCAAAGTCCGAACACACCTTCACAGACCCCAGCGGCACCCGTGTTGAGCGTACACATCAAGCTCCGGGTGAAGCGCCGCGCGTTGAGCGATTCGAAACGGATTCGTCTGGAAGACAGCTGGAAGATCACAGACATGCAGATGCGAAGCGGATTCAGGATGTGACGGAGGAGGAAGATGCTAAGGTCAAGGAGAGGGAGTATGAAGATAAGATACAGGATGAGTATGCTAAGAGGGAGGGAGGTGCTTGAGTGAAAGGGATAAAGTGGACATAGGCGTTTTGAGTAGAGATATATCACGCCAAATACACATATCACAAAGTAGGTTTGCAGAATACAATGTGATCGGAAAGACGCCACCGGCAAACAAGCAGGCAGCGAGGAGACTCCATTCAACTATATACGCGGCCAGAGCGCGCCGAGAAACCACCCAAGAGACCACAACCCCAGCCCAAACTCCCCAAACCCAACCCAAAAGCACCCCCAGGAGGCCACACTGCGCCAATCATGTCGTCGTCGTCGTCGTCCGCCGCCACGTCGTCCTCAGTTGTGTTGGAGGGCTCGCCAGCGGTACTGGTCGGCCAGCGAGAGGGAGGCGAAGAAGTTGTGGAGCGCCATGCCCCGGATCCCGTGCAACTCCCACTGGGTAAAGACCCGAGGGGGTGGAGGGGGCGGGGGAGGCGGTGGCGGAGGCGGAGGCGGCGGAGGAGGGAAGCCGCCTGCTGGGCGAGGCGGCGCCGGTGGCTCGATCCAAGGCGGGATCCGCCGTCCCTCGAGGGCGAACCCGGCGTTGGCGGGGGGAGGGACTTCCTCTCCATCGGCCTCAGGCCCAACTTGTGCAAAGCAACGCCACATGGTGACGTATTTGCCGGTGGTGGTTCCGGTCTTGGTGGTGTAGGATGGTGGGAGGTTGCCGAAAGGTCTTGTTGGAGGTGTTGTTGTTGTTGTTGAGGAAGGAAGAGACTTTTAAGAATTGTAAACAATTCTTGACGTGGGCAGATTGATGTGGTTGCCAAAGAGCAGAAGAGGGATCCCAAAAGTCGCTTGTTTATATAGTCGGCGCCCTGAGGCCCCAGCTCCCGCGCCAAGACGAGAGCGACGGTGACCTGTACTTGACGACGACCCCTTATTCATGCCTAAGAAGGAGATACTATTGTTCAATGGCCATGTAGCAACCAGCTCAGGCAATTGCAAGCTTTTCCGGGGCGTGCAGCACCTCTATTGTCTGCGTGAAGTACTGTTGACCATTTGGGTGGCCCACTAGCGCCGGGATTCTGCTGGGGTTGCGTGGCTCCTATTGACCGTGAGGGTAAGTGGGGTTTGCTGAGAGACCACCGAAGGTCATTGGTATTGTTGACGTAGCATCCCAAGACAAGAACGTATACTGATCAGTCCTGTCCGGGATGTCTTTCACCGACAGCAGTCTTATGAACCTCTGACGGCGACCTACTAGGACAACGTCCAATTCCAGACGCTCCAATCTACGGTCTACATCGTACCGAAGCCAGCACGAGAAAGCCACATTGGGTACGAGGCAGGGCGATAGGCGAGCAGGAGGGACGCCAGGGGGATACGCGGTTCCTGACATACGTAGACGGAGGCGGCAGGAAAGGCGAGGACGCCTTGAGCAAGCATGGAAGTAGGGCAGCAGCGGCAGGACGATGAGTCAAGGGGATACCATGAGCCCACGTAGGAGGCTCTTGAGCCAACGACCAGCATGTATCTAGCATGTAGCAGATGCAAGCAAACGGAGCGATTAATCGCATGTCTTGAACACTTGGTGCTTGATCTTCATGCTTGACCTTCGTGCTTGACATCGTATGAGACGATCCCTGATGTCTGTAGTGCAAGCAACTCAGGAGCGCGTTGCATACAATTCTGCAGTGTTCGAGAGCTGGACGAAGGCATGCTATCACGATGGGCGCTGTTTAGACGTAACTGGATCGTCGGAGTCCTCCTCTAGCCGCTCCGCAGAAGGACAGTAGGGTTTGGATTGAAGGCCTTCCTTGGTCGGGCAAGGCGCGACTCCCAGCTGTGCTTGGGCGCATTCTAGAACTTGGCCTCCTCGTGCACGACGAGTTACCAGTTACTCTACGATGAACACCTCTCCTCAGCGTTGATGAAGGGCGGGCTGCATCGTGGTGGGGCTGATATCGTGCTTCGTCTCGCTCCGCCGACCGCCGCCTCAGCTTCACCACACACACGACCACAACGCCAGCATAGGAATGCGGCTACTCGCCAAACCTTGACCAGAGCCTTGCCAAGCGCGAAGGCCTCTGCTGCAACGGCTTCATCGAAACGCAGCATGCCCCGCGACAGCAGGCTCGTTGAAGATCCTTTCACGGCAACAACCCACGAATTCGCGCCACGAGCCCCTCGACGCCCAGGCCGACGATAGAGGCTTCCTGCGAGCTTCTCCAACATAGGGCATCGTCGATGATAGGCACGATCGCGCGACGTCTCTTCGAGGGCGAGGCTAAGATCCCCTCACCCCTGACGGAGAGCTCACTCACCCCAAGGCGAAGGCCGCCGACGGAACGGCAAGCTACTGCGCGACCTTTACTGATGATTTACGGACGATCGGCTTCTTGACAGCGAGCAGTAGCGGTATGATACGCCCATGGCCGGCTTGATCACTCCCGTGGTGGCGGGCTCCTCCGCGGCGTTGAGAACGAGCTTGAAGACTTTTGCTGCCCCAAGACGGCGACTGGACACAGCAGATCTGAGGCCGATATATAAGATCCAAGAGCGACTGACAAAGGATACAGTGGTCTAGAGCAAACCTTGGGCACGCCCTGCGACCATTCCGAATCGCCGCCCCCCTCGCGCGCAACCTCCCACGAAGCCGCAGAGCGCCTCCGCCTCGATCAGTATCGCCAATGTGTCTTGATCGCAAGGCAAACACAAGGCTCGGATGAGCTGCATACGAAATGCGAGAGCGGCAACGGGCCAGACAACAGCGAGATAGATGGGGCACCCCTTGGATGAAGGGCGGCTCGACAAAACGGCGTCGAAGGCTCCAAACGCGGCAGACACCGGCGACAATCCACAGCTACAGTCGAGCGGCATATCTGCTTCTCCCGCATGCACACTGCAACCGGGGAATGCGACCAACGAATCGCGACCGGTTTGCTTGAATGGCGCGTGGTACACCATCGACTGCGGACAGCCTCAAGCTTGAGACGCCCAGCCGCACACAACCCGGGCACGAGCCTCAAGACGTTGGAGTTGGAGGACGAGGGCAGGACAGCGCGACCTGTCTCCCGTAAAGCTCGCACGACGAAGCAAGGCTACCCTCTCCACCCATCCTCAGCGGCCAAGCACCAAGCCGTCCGTGCTGAGAGTCTTCGGCAGAGACCAAGGAGGCGCAGAATCGACGCGACATCTGGAACGATGGACAGCGTCGGAACGTGTTCATCATAACACGCGACAGCCAAGATAGACCCGTTCAATGTCAGGCATAGCGAAGCCGGTCGTACTCTCGTCAGGTGGGCAAGATCCGGCTTTCGGAAGCAATGTCTTGGGGCTCAATGTCCTCATGAGCTCGGAGCGGCGATGGGCTCATCATCGCGGTTGCGCGTATCCATGGCTACGATACGTATGAGCATGCCGCGATGAGATACGAAAAGTTTGCGCAGCGTTATGCTGTTCACAGTCCGTCTTCCACGGCATGCGACGCCCTTACGACGGAATTTCGAAGACCATGGCACACAGCTTTCGACGCTGCATGCCGTGACAGTATTTCCCTAGCTCTTTCTATCGCCAGCGAGATGAACGACGATACACCAGTCTTACGGAACGATGGAAGATGAGTTGGCGAGCTTCTCGATGAAGTTTGCGAAGAAGGGGCGAAGACGTGCGGTCGGAAGTCCGGGAAGGATGACGCGCGGAAGCGAATGTGGGTCGTCATCTTCCGCCCAGCCACCGTCGACGCGCAGCCGCAGACCATCTCTTGCCATCCTCACGGGCGATCTGGCATCTCCAGAATGCTTCGCCACTATCGCCATCGACAATGAGTACATTCTGGTATGAGCCAGAGCAGGCAAACGTCAGCAAACACCCGATGATCAAGAGGGGGGTTACATACCGCTGCGAGGGTGGCAACACTCATTCGCTCACGACGCGATGCATGAGGCCCGCGGGCTAACGAAGACATGTGGTTTATTGGAGATAGATTGGAAAACTTCATGCGCATTTGAACCTCAACTCGAACCCAAGACGTCGCTCATATCCCATCGCCAAATCCGTTTCCACAAGCCGCCACAAACTTCCAACACACCGCGCCGGGGGTTCCGACGACATCTCCCACCCTTTACCATTCATACACTGTGACCTTTCGCGTTCGGCCTCTTGCTATCTTCCACAAGTCGGACTGGTAATGTGGCTCTTCGATCCATCTCTTCCGCGCGGTTGATTTGGGGTTGTCTCTAGCATGATCGCCGCTGACCATCGCGTTGTAGATGCGCTCTACGTTTCGGTTGCGATCGCGTTGTAGATGCGCTCTACGTTGCGGTTGCGATCGCGTTTGAACCAGCTCGATAGTCGGGTCAGTGGCAGGATCCCTCCCGGTTCTAATCCTTACGTCTGGAATATCCTTCCGCTTGGAATACGCCTTAGGTGCGTTGACGAACATGCGGATCTGCCACGCCGAGCACATGACGTTCTCGCAGATGCACTTCTGTTGTGCGAGGGCGGTGACGATGTCCAGTCGGCCAGCACAACAGGAGTGCGACGAAGAGACTGGATAGCGCGCTGTGCGGCGTCGATGGAGTCGAACTCGATCCGGAAGATCAGGCGCATCTCATCGTGGACAGTGTCGACATGGACGACGTTGCGAACGTTACCGAACTCCCTCGCGATCAGCTCGACCTGCTTCTTGATGTCGTCCATGTCGACACCGTCCTCGTCGGATCCTTCTTTCTTCCACGGCCGGCCAGCCTCACAACATACAACTACTTGCGCTGACGTTTGTTTGCTGCATTGTGAGGCTGGCCTTTTCGTTTATTTTGGAGACAGCGTTGGGAGCGGCGCCGCAGAGGTGCCATGCGAACCCAACACAGAACACTCCATACGGCGCTCAGTACCGAGCCCGACGGCAGTATTCTGCATCAGGTCGCAGGCGACCTGAGGCGCCAACCACCCACCGGGGGACCCGATGGGTGTGAAGGCGGCTTACACCGGCCGAAGCCTAGCAAAGTTAGCTCATGTCTTATCTGCGGTTTGGATAGGATGTTGTTTGGACGTACCGCTGCGGTGCCATGCTAAAATGTTCCGTGGATGGCATAGGCGCGAGCGATCCCTCTACAACGAACACATTCGTCCCACGAGTCTACAAAGGCGAACTCGAGGTTCTTGGGACCAATGTGCTCGTTGTAGAAGTTGCTCAAGCGCTCTACGACACCCACGGATGGAACCGGCGTTGCGGACTTGGTCCCATGTGAGGGTTGCCACGGTCTCCGTCACCGCGCCGAATGATGTCAGCGTCTTACGATTTCCCACGAAGACCAAGGCTAGAAGCTTTTACGAACGAACAACTCTGCGCAACGAGTTCAATGCCGATGGTGGATAGGGCCCCGACCTCGCCCATATCCAGTCGCCCCCAACCGAATAACTTGGGACGTCCTTGATGATACTCGGCGTTTGTAACTTTGAACTCTTCATCAGACCATGCTTGTCAGTAGCTAGACGAGAGTGTGCGAAAAGTACTCACGAGTGGCTTCTTCCGCGCCTTGCGCTTCTTCTTGCCGGAGGGACTCTGATCTCCAAGTCGGCAACAACAGCTGCACATGCGCGGCTCGCACCACAGCGGAGACAGGTGGTGTTCTTCGTGAAGTTGTGGTAACTGCCGTCTCTCTCTTTGCACGACCAGGGCGATGGTATCATTCCCCGTTCAAGCATCTGAGCCTGCGTGTCAACCTCCATCCCGTATCCTACTCGTGTCCAAAGCTATACGTCGATCCTTGGCTTTGACAGGTGGTTACTCTGAATCGCTGTCAGGAATATCGCCACGGCCAGACTTCTTGAAGCGCGGCTTGTCCTCGGCAAGCAGAAGCACTTGATCGCGTCCGTCGTATCTCTGGCCGCCGAACTTCCAGGCCACAAACTTCTCTGCGTCCTACATGATGCAGGAAGCTTTCGCGGAGGTCATCAGGGCAGCTGCATGGCGTGTTGTCGGTGCGCCAACCCCATTAGGGGAAGGCGACTTACTGCTTGCAGGTCCAGAACGCAATTGGACGTCCGCCGAATTGAGTGAACCAGCTCTCTAGTTCTGATTGGGTAGTGTCGTGGGCGAGGCCGCTCGTGTGCAGAACCTTGCTTCGCTCTGACAAGAAAGCGCGAACGTCGGCGCGAGCGTCCATCGGCTTGGTCAAGACGTCGGGGTGTCTTGTGGTATCCACAGCCGTTCTCTCCGCACTTCCAGTCTCCAGCCCTAAAGGGCACAGCGCCGGTGCCACCGCGCATATGTCCGCCACCCATTCCGTGGCCGTGGCCATGACCCATGTGATGTTGAGGGGGACCCAGCCCCGAAGGGTACAGCGCCGGTGCCTCCACGCATGTGTCCGCCACCCATGCCGTGGTCGTTTCCGGTGTGACGACCCGCCAACACGAGTTCTCTTCTGGTATCGAACTTCTTGATGGGGTATTCTCGTGTTGACGGGCCTCACGAGGACCGACTCGCGATGCAGCTGTTGTTGAGTTAGCGCTTGAGGTCGGCATTGGATCGGACAGACGTACCTCTTCGCACGACTTTGCCGTTGAACTTGCCCTCCTCGTCTTTGTACATATTGATTCGAGGCTGAGGAGGGCAAGTCCTGTTCTCTGGAACATGACAAAGAGGTTCGGCATGGCTTTCTTGTTCGGCTGCATCATGTTAGCGAGTGATCTAGAAGCTTGAGACGGTACTAACCTCGGGCTCCTTCTCGGCCTTTCGCTTCTTGCCAGCTTGCGGCTCTGGCGGTGCACAAGAGTGCGTATATATCGAAATAGCGCCATATTGTCGCACTCAACATTTGCGAACGGCCTCGGGGAGCTTGACATTTGCATGCGGCGCCTGGTGCAGCTGCCCTCTCCGTGCGACGGCAAAGAATTGGTGGTAGATGTCCATGCGGTCGTTCTCGTACTCGTCGCACGGGTACATGTAGAGGCCTCTCCGGAAGCCATGATACCAGCAGCCGTTTTCCATGTAGTTGCTGGTTTGGGTCGTTCTGACTGGCAGTGCTCCATGGCCCAGTAGAGGGGATCGTTGGGGTCGAAGTCGCTCACGCCCTGGAGGTTGAGAGATTCGGGCCATGCTTCGTGGACGATGATGTCCTCAAGGTAGGCTGCGGGTACGCTTCGTGCTTGCTCAGGCGTGGTGCCACATGCACCGCACCCCGAAGACATCACCGTTCTTGCTGAGGTCCACAATGCGGGCATGTTTCTCCTTGAGCTGGGTTAGTAAGTTCTAGTGCGGAGATTGCTAACGCAGCACATACCTTGAGCGGCGCCCGACATGATGTCTTGGAGGTGAAGTCGAAGTAGTTCTCTTCGTAGAAAACTTGGAGAGCGACTGCCTGGAACTGTCGAGAGACGAACTACTCCGACTCCACCTCATAGCGAAGCGTGTGGCGTTGATGAGCCGTCCGTTCATGCAGAGCGATTCCGCAGCCTATTCAATATTAGCAAAAGCGGGTAGATTGCTAACGCGGTACATACCTCTTCATGGGACGAGAGGATGGCAAACCCAGTTCCGGTGGGCTTGTGCTGGTCAGGAGTGCGGAGGGACCTGCCCGAAGGCGAGACTGAATAGTATGTTAGTATGCAAGAGATGGAGCAAGGTTATAAAAGAAGAGTCAAAAGGGTACTGGAGGGGAGAGAGCAAGACGTTGCCAAAGGCGGGGTTGAAGGCGCCTCGCAGCGACTTGGGGCAGGATGGGTATATCGCGCGATCCACAGTACAGAGCGCGAAGAGAGTACAGCGCTCAAGCAGGCAAGCAGTGTGAGTATGACTTACCAGGTACGTCGTCATCGAGGAGGTGGCGCACAAGCGTGCATGAGTGCACGTATTAGGCTCGAAAAAGCCTTGCGTTCGCCCGCCGGCGCTGATGATATTGTCAGAGAGTGCACGAAGAGACTTAGAGCGGAGCGAAGGATTGACTTACGTATCGTGGGGCAGACCGCTCATGTGGAGCACTTTGCTGCGCTCCGACAGGAAGCCACAAGGGCGCTGTCGAGCTCAAAAGTTTGCATATAGCTGTGGTGGTGGTGGGTGGTTGAAGAGTTGGAGGGGGAGGTCGGTGGACGAGCTTATATGGCAGCCCTGGCCAGGCCGCCAGGCTCGCAGCTAAGGCTCGCGGCCTCACGCTCACCATCACCGGGCATCAATGGATGTTCCCGATGCCCCTGACGTCGTATCAACACCGGGAAAGTTGGAGGAGCTTGCGACGGGCTTCACGGTGCTTGTCGTACTGCCCTTCGGGCTCTGGGGAGGAGGGGTGTCAAGGTATAGACAGGCTTGAGGGGAGACTCAATAACCTGGACCCTGAGCTTTCAGATAGCACTAGGGGTGAAGCAGAGGAGCAGTTGCGACCGTGCGCGGCGGCGGAGGCTCACCCCAAGGGTGTAAATCTGGGAGTGCAACTCCACCACGTCGCGAAAGAAACACCAGAAAAGTTGGAGGAGGATATCGTGAGCTCGGCGCTCCTTTTGGCACTCCCCAGAATTTTTTTGGTCTGGTGGTGGTGGAGATACAGCGTGGAGGGGGTGGGTTGCCCGAGAGTCCTCCGCAAAAACCAGCTGAGGGAGCAAAGGAACACCAAACTTTTCGCTGAGAGCTTCACATCAGGGAGCTGGCAAGCTCATGCAACACGGCAGCAGATGTCTATGAGGGTTGACAGAGTGCAGCAGCGAAGCCCTGAACCGTACCTTGCTCCTGACACTTTTTTGGACAGAATTGACAAAGTGGTTGTGGAACCGCAGCTCGGACACGGAGAAACCCTCGAGACTTGGGGGCAAATCACTGCATTGGGGCTTTGAGAACATCGAGTTGGCCGCGGAGGTGGCGGGCGGTGCAACACCAAGACCACAGCGCCGGCCTGCGGCGTCACGCCCTGGAGCAGCTACCGAACATCGAACGCCCCCGGGCTTGCCTACACCAATACCTATAGCCTCCGTTCTCCCTGGGCCAGATTGCTTATGCTACTGTAGAGCTACTGCCTCGAGAACGCGAACAGCCCACGACGATTCACCGCAAACTCAGCCCACCGAAGAGCCTGAACTCGCAATCGGCAGCAGAATCCCAGACCGGAGACATTTTGGGACGCAGATTCAAGGCCTTACAGCATGGCAATGCTACACTGCACTGTGGGACACATGTCGATAGTCGAGGGTCCAGGGTTCTGTACAAGCAGACATGAGGACGGCGAACGGCTTTGGGTTTACGAAAGGGATCATACCAGGATGGCCAGGGTACGACAACGTAGAGCTGAGATGTCATGCGGCTTTCGCAAGTCAAGGTTCAAGAATGCAAACAGTAGAGGCTTTAACAGGTGTCATACGTGGATGGGTCACAACGTCTACGTGGATACACGCAAGCACGAGCAGGATCAGCGAATTGCAATGTATGAGTCAAAGGTACTGCAGGGCTATGCAATATCCTACAAAGATCGAGTACCGAGTCGGCGAATGCATTCCTTACGAGGCTGTTGACGAGGGCAGCAAGGAGTCTACAATCCGAGTCTGATGATCGAGATATGGGTGTCATGACCGCCAGGGTTATACATGGGGATACTGGAGGTGGCAGGCAAGGCCGATATATTTAGTAGAGGCGACATGACCTTGCGGATGTCATGGTTGCGGTGACTGAAATCCTTTGTCTACAACAGGCTCCCTCGTGGTCGTTACAAGAGACATCACTTGAACCAATGTGGTATTATCTCCTTCGTGAGGTCATCATCATTCAGATGCATTCATTATGGTATCTTAACACAACTACATATCCTCGCATCATCCGTACACGGTCAGGAAGACACGCGAGCCAGCCACCCGCCTACTGCTCAACTCCTTCCATCGCATCCTCCTCGGCCATCGCCCACAACTCCCTCTCCAACCAGTTCCTCACCAGAGAAGACCCCACCGTCCCATCCTTCCAGTTCACCCTCTTCCAGCCCACCGGCGTCCCATCAAGGCCGACCGGCCACTTCTCCCAAACCTCCTCCAAGTCCTCACCATCTACACTGTACGTCCACCAGCCTCTCGCAGCAGCCCGATGGCTTCCAGCCGACTCCTCCCTGACCTGCTTCGTCTCACCATACAAGGATGTATACATCCAGTCTCCGCCCGGAGGGTGTCCGGCGGGAGGGCCACGGGTATCGCGGAGGGCGCTCAGACGCGCGATCTCGTCGTCGTAGAGACGCTTCAGAACGTGTTCGTTCTGAAGCGGTGTCAGAGAAGGGTGTGGAAGCGGCTTTTCGAGGTGGCCGATCCACAGGGGGCAGTCTGAACCCTTCTCGAACGTGAGGGACGAGATGGCATCGGCGATCTTGGTCTTGGCCTGGCTCATGTTAGTAGTGATGGTACATGTGATGGGATGGACGGACTTACCTCTTCTTCGACCACCTCAGGAGTGGGAGTCGACGTAGCACCGACAGCAGGCTTTTTGCCTACGACAGGAGGGTCTTTCCGAATACGACCTGAGTCGGGGTCGTCGATGTCGCTCTCAGAGGGACTCAAGACGCTGTCAGAGTCGGAATCTGACTTGTCGCCGTAGCCCAGAAAGGCCCTGTTGAGATGACGTCTAGTCCAGACAGGGTCGCCGCCAGCGGACAAGATGCCCTGGTGACGACGTTGTCCGTCCAGGACCCACTGCTGCTTCTTTGCCTCAGTCGCAGCCGCCTGCTCGAGCTTCTCTTGCTCTGCCTTGGCTTCGCGGTCGAAGAAGACTCTCAACCAGCACCGTTCATCGTCCGTGGCCTTGTTCGCCTGCCAAGCGATGGTGATACGTTTGGCCTTTTCTAGGTCGCGCTGCCACTGTGGCTTCTGCGCTTCCTCGATGACCTGGCCAAGCTGAAGAGGGGTTGAAGTTAGTGGCTGCTTATCCTTGAATTGAGGTAATAGTAACTTACAAAACCGACTGGGATAGGCGTCTCCTCCGGCAGCGAGGAGTACGCGAGTGCTTGGCGACGGGCGGGAGTGTTCTTGTCCTGGACAAGCTTTGCGTAGTAGGCCGCGATGTCGCGTTTGGCTTCGCCGATGGAGTTGGGCGCCCTGCGCGCTTCGCGCTTCGTGCGAGCCATTCTGAATGAATGAGGAGAGTGTATAGAAAGGTATTATACGTGTAAGAAGGAGGGGTATAGAGAATTGAGATAGAGTTGTGTTGGTGGGGTGGGAATATCGGTGGTGTTTGGGCGATGAGGGAGTTTGTGCGTTTGTCGAGAAGCCCTTTCATTTTGGCGACCACAACGCTTCCTAGTTCTTCCGTCGTCTGGTGTTTTGCTTTGGCTCTCACACGACCACCCCCGGCGGGAGATCTAGCGTGTGATCTTTCGCATCGAGTGGTCGCGCTCAGTCTCTGCTATCAGGTCAGTGGGCTGCACAATGGCGACGAGGATACATAAGAAGACTTACTAGTGATGGAGCAGTCCATGAGTTGCCTGCCTTGTTTCATGTAGGAGGGCCGGCCTCCCTGTGGTATAAGTAGTAGAGAGTGTGTGTTTGCAAAATATGCTCGCATCCACGAGACCGCCGGTCTGTTTGCCATCTTCTATCAGGCGCGGGAGAGCATGTGAAGCCAGACAATGGAATGACGTTTGCCAGGCTGACGTGATCACTCAAATTGACGCATAAGGTGAGATAAACGGTAGACAAACAGAATTGGATATGCATAGAGACATCAGGGGTATTATACAAGCGCTCATGGCGACATAAGAAATCCAATAACTCCGCGCTTCACATCATTCAACATCGTGATAAAAGGAAATAACAGCCGGCCCGGTACGACTAGTTCAAAGGATGGCGCATTAGGTCGACTTAGACATGGTCGTGTCTTCCGAGCAGCTTGCCCTTCTTGCCGAGGGCCTTAGCCTCGCCCTGCTTGATCTTCGCAAGTCTCGCCCTGTATACTCATCAGTAACCACTCAACATCGTATCCATTGCCCAGGGTAGTACTTACTCCTCAGCAGCCTCACGCTCCAAACGATGAACATGCTCCCGCGCCTCCCTCACAGCGTTCTTGGCGACAAAGAGCGCACGGTCAGCGTCCCTCTCCGCAGCCTCAGCAGTCATCAAACTCTGCTTAGCAGTCGCAATGCTAGGGTCTCCGGAGCCACGGCTGAACATGCCAGATGTACGCTTAGGGGACGAGGTGTATGTCGTGGTGGTGCGGCTAGTGGAGCTGCTATGGCGCGAATCCCTGTACGAAGGGGAAGAAGAGCGACGCCGAGAGAACATGGAGTGTTTCTGAGGAGGAGCAGGAGGAGGGCTGGGCTCCCGCTTGGATCCGAAGAGAGGCATGTTGTTGGTTTGGTGTAGGAGTTATGAGAAGCTTCAAGATGGTCGATACAAGATCTGTACTGCAGGATGCGTGCTTAGCTAGACGTTGGAGATGATAAAGTCTGGAGATTTAGAGTTGAAGATTCGGAACGTGCATGCCGGGTCTTATATGTGAAGTCCTCCCTGTCATAGCGCTCCTCCGTCGTGTCTTCCCAGCTGTCTGTCAAAGTCGCGAAAGCAGGGTTCGGGAACCTGCATTGCGTGACGTCAATGCCCCAAAGCAGGGGGTGATCTGCGCCTCCAACATCACAGAAAGCAGCCGCATCGTCATCGCTAATCTACGAGATGTATTGGGGACCAAAAAAAACGGGTATTGCGAAACGTTCATCGCGATATTGTAAATTGATGCTTAGCGTGGTGTTGAAGTTTGTTGTGGGTCTGTGAGTACGCGTCCTGCGCCGGATCTGGTGCCGGAGGCACTTGGTGTACCGGACTTGAGGAAAGCTAGTGAGCTTAACGAGACTCCAACTTCAAGAAACTTGGTGCCGATTGAACCGGAAAAGACAAGAATAGTCTTCGTCAAGTCTTATTCTCGGCGATGCGACAATGCATGTGCTCGTTGGCAGCAAGTGATGACAATGTATTCCAAGATTCTGTCTAACAAGGTCGGTGACCCCCACCGGCCTTCTGCGCCATGCACATGCAACGTGTATACCAAAACGCCACCCAATGCTCGCTGTATATATGATACAATATAGATCAACTACATTTGGCCCCTTCACTATTCCCCATCATCGTTTTGCTGGTAGTCTTAATGATGCTGATGACCATAACGATACCTCCAAATGCCGCAACAGCCCCAGCCAAGTACGTCTTCCAGCTTCTTTGGCTCAGCTTCATGTAGCAAAGAGGCGGCAGAATGAAGGCTAATGCGCATGCAGATGTTGCGCCGAACAACTCGAACACTATACCGAGATCGCAAGTAAGGAGGGAGAGTGTGAGGGCGGAGACGACGAGCGAGGTCGTGAAGATAAGATGGCGGTTCGGGTGGTACGGCTCGTCTGGAAACCAATAGTTGGTCATGACTTCTCGACATACAAAGGCTTCGAGCGGAAGCGTAGTAAGCATGTTGAGGCCGAAACACAGTCGCGCAATATTGACCATGAGGTTATCATTCGGAAAGTTATTCAGCACGTTGCCGAGGGTTTTGTCTCCGAAGGTCAAGTAGCCTGTTAGAGCCATGACAAGACATGCGACCAGAGATATGCTGGTGCTGTAGTGTGTAACGCGTGTAAATCGATCGATCGTAGGTTTGCGGAGGGAGCCGTAGATGAGGAGGCTGTTGTGGTGGCAGACGAAGGCGAAGGCGATGACGCCAATTGCTTCGAAGATGCCGGGTCGGATGATAAGGTTGCCGCGAAGTTGGCCCTTCAATTCGGCGGGTACACGGAAGGCTTGCGTGACTACGGTCACTATGATGATGGTCATACTGACCAGTGCTAAACCGCTAGCTTTGGCCAGCTACAAATTGTCAGCCCAAATAAGGCGTATAGGTCTAGATTCCGTACCTTTGATATGTCCCGATATAGCGACAGTGGAAATGATATGCCAAGAATGAGCAGAATCATGATGGCCCGTCTATTAGTCAGTAGCCAGAGAAACGGCATGTCCGCTAAGGAAGGGAACATCGAATCCAAGACCCTTGGTATTGTATCTCCGACTACGACGCAGAACGCGACCATGCCACCAAAAGCGCTGTATGTTGTCAATACCCCTGCTGCCACAACTCGTAGGGTGAACATACAAGAGCCATTGCGCGAGAGATATCGCTATCAACCCCGATTTGCCGAAGCAGTGTTGTACCGTGGCTTGAAACGAATCGGTGCCGCTGAGCTTGGAGTTTATAACGATGAGTCGTATGGTCCAGTCTACCACGATGGTAAGGCCGATGAGGAGGGCGGTGCCTGTCACGAGGCCTGCGTTTCGAACAGCGTACGGTTGGCCGATGATACCAGCTCCTCTGCTTTGTGTCAGCCCCATTCCATAGTTGCTTATCTGGCGGCATACATTATACTGTTTGCCATGTTCATGAACGCGCTCCGCATCCCGCTCCGTGGTCGCGCATTCTCGAGATGGTCTTCCGGGTTGAAGGATTCTTCGGCGACTGTGACGCTCGGCGCCTCAATTCCAGTAAGCAGAGGAAGCCGCTGCGTTCTTTCTCGCCCATCGCCGCCATCCAAGTAGTCGTCTCCATCTAGCTCAAGCCAGTCGCCGCCGCCGTTATCCCCATTCATGCTCCTCCTGGGTTCCTCGAAGCGCACCCGATTTGGCGTTCTCGGTGCGCCATCGGGCCGGGCTTGTGCGAACGACGACTGCCGCTTAATGTTGCCATTCGGGCGTGACCCGGGTGGTGCTGGAGACACGGAGGTGGTTCGCGATGACGAGGGCGATGGAGACAGGTGTCGCGGACTTGCTTTGCGCTCGTGTTCGGGTTCTGAGTCGCTGTCGGAAGGATGCTCATGCAGGAGCTTCTGGCTTTCGCTCATCGTGGCATTGTCGAAGTTCAGGGAGGTTTGCAGCTTGAATGATCGTCGACATGTCATTCCCGACTTCTGACATCGGACATTGGACCCCTGTTCCGCCACTAGATCGTATGTGGCCTAGTGCTCATCGTCACTTCCGGCGAGAATTGTGGGGTGGATTTGGCTGAGCAATAGAACATCCTCCTTGTACGTGTTCGATCATTCGCATTGCCCTATATATGCTACCTATGTTTGAGTTCGCTCAAGCTCAAGCCTCCGATTGTCCCCGATGCATCTGTTATGAGATCCTTCAATGCTACTCTCAGGTTACATGGATGTTTCGCGCGAGGTAAATGGTACCATTCCGGCGAGTTCATACTATGCACCTGACCGCAAAGTGTGCTGAAGCTCATATCGCGGAACGGGACCTCAGGTCGAGGCTGATCAAGACTCAGACGGCTTAGTTCCTTCATCAGACTGCCGAGAAGAAAGGAGCTACATAGAAAGGAGATGTGAGAATCGTCCGTGTACGGGCAAGTATAATCTGTCTGACGATATATCTCAAGACGCTTGTAGACGCCCTCAAGGAGAGACTCAATTGCCAGGCGCCGTCTCGAGTCGATTTCATCTGTCGTGTGTAAGGACATGCCCAGGTATCTGACTATGGCGATTTGTAAATCAACATACCTGATACTCTGGCAGGAATAGGGAGATCCAACGTCGGGAAGGACTCAGTTATCTGCCTAATGGATGTGGCCGTGGTGTTCCTGAATTGCTGTTCCATATCAAACACCCATGCAACCCAGATCCACAATACCAGATCTCTACCGTGCATTTGATGTATAGGTATAGGTGTCTTTGTAAGCTCCTGGATCCACATCTCAGTAAACGTCTCGAGAGTCTCCCCGAAGTTGTAGTAGTCCTCAAGCACAGCAATTTTGGCGAGCATTTCCAATGACTGCTTTCGTGGAATCAGCTTATTGCGACCATGAACGATTCGCAAAACAACAAGGAAGGCTTCGGCATCCCAATCGTGAGCCGTTGTGTGGTAAAGACCATCGGCTTCGTTGCGAACAGACTCGGCGAACCCGTCCTGTGCTAGCATTCGCTTGAATGTGGCCGACGCAAGTATCAGGTGGCGTGATGACACATGGTAATGGATTGACTCCTCTTCAGGCTCTTCCGGTAAGATTGGTGACGGCGTATAATGCACACCAGAGGACGGCTCTGCAAGCGCGGTGGAGCCTTCATCCAAGGTATACATACTGCTATCTTCAGGTGTCTCGACAAGTGCAGGTTCTTGACGAGGTGAAGGTGAGGGAGGCTGTGGATGATCGACGTCATCTGGCGGTACTGGCACTTCAGACATGGTTGGACTTCGTCGTTCCTCCTCCAGTTCGCAAGGTGCAAATACCTTGCACGGATTCTTGAGCACAATGACTGTATCCGGATCCGGATCGATGATGTGAACGATGGGTGCCATGACTGTTCTTGAGAATATGTAGCGAGATGAATGGAAATATGTTGAACAAGCAAATTAACTGGAAAGGTGGGCGTCGAAGTGAGGTAGTTGAGAAAGGAGATATTGAGCTGTCGGTCGAGAGTTGAAGTAGACTGTCGCTTCCATATCGCTTCCACACACTGCGCATCCATTACGTTGATCTGCGCATGATGTCCAATAGTACATGCAGAATCAGCTATCAGTGCGGAGTCGTGCAGCGATGTGTTTGCTGTTCAGCGCCAAAACAACGGAAGTGATGTATCATTGGAGGCTCGCGTTACACAACGCCACCGAGCTGCATGGCCAATACATGTGGGATAAGACATGCATGCAGAGGACGGAATACGGTGCGAGGAATGATTTAATGAGACCATCTAGTCCTGCGAGCGCGCAACCGACAAAGGCGTAGTGTAGTGGCTTGAGATTCTGGAAAACTGCATGGGGAGATGCCAGTTTGGCGGCTAGCTATGAGATGCGCAACTGCCATTGGCAGAGGTCATGACTATGTCTTCCTTCCTATCCTCTCCTCCTCCAACTCGCCCTAAAGCGCCTTCCTAACCGCACTCTTAAAAGGAATAATCTGCATATCCTCCAAATTCCACACACCCTCTTTAACATAAACATCCTGCTTCAACCTCTCCACAACCTCCTCCCTCGTCTTCGCACCAATGAGGCACGCTGAGCCTTTCATCTTGGGTGGGCCTGTATCGCCTTCTTTGATGGGTTCCTCGAGCATCGCTCCTACGAACATCTAGCATTAGCTTTACCCTCTCTCGTACAAGGGAGGGAGGTAAGCATACCACCCCACAACCACATATCCTCCCTATCCGCCCTCAACCCCTCGAGATGTTTCGGACGAGCCGCAATCCGTTTCTGCAACGCATCCTTATGATCAGGCACGATGATGAGCCATTCTTGTAGTGGAGCGGTGGAAGACGATGCCATTGTGCGTTGGTATATCTTCGGTACGAGGCGTGTTTGTGTTGCGAGCGTAGATG